TGCTCTTGCTAGGCTGTAATAGCAAATGTATATGGATCTCTGTAACATCACTCAGCACACATACAAATCACTTGCTTTTCATGTCAATCCAGTAGGTAATATGGAGTGTTCAAAAGCTCATCTGAAACAGCTAATTTTAATCAATTTTTATACCATTGCATTAGAAGTATAGCTTATCAACAGAATAATGAAGCACTATTTTTTCCCCTTATTACTTCCAAGAGATTAACAAAAACTATCAAAAATCATCTATCTCACGAAAGATATGCATTTTTCACCTTAGTTGCATGACATCCCACTTAAAAAAAACTCACTTGACAACTTGCTTATTTGCAGTATCAGGGACCAACCGTTCTGCCAGCATCTGGAGCTGATGCTGTAAATTCAGTAATCTCATGTCTTCCTCCCGTTTCCTTTGGTCATAAGTCCCTACTGGTACAGGTTCATCCGCCTTTGTAAAACACAGACCATGAAATCCTAAAGACTTAGCCAGGAACAACCATGAGGTTTTCCACTACTGTTTCATAGCCATTTAGTTCTATTTCATCTTCCCCAAACAGAAGAGCATGGTTATGGTTGTGAAGAGCAGAAAACACATTAACAAGATTCAAAATAATAAATTACTTTAACAATGCAATATGTTTTGAGAACAGTCCATTTCAAACATTTTAATCCTTATTTTGATTAATTTGGCTAAACCATTATTCAGTATTTGATCATTTTAGTGTGTTCATTACTCCATTTACTGCATCAAAACTCCTTAAGGTATCTGTCTGATATTGTACCATTACCCGAGAGAAGAGACAGCCAATCTAAGCCTTTACCTTGTTTAATGCCCTTAAAGTCTTCAGAGTTTCTTCAACAGATTTTTGTAACTTAATGCATCTGTTGAACAAAAAAGTGACAATGGCCACACATATCATTTTCTTTTTAAGAAGATTTAATATTATGAAAACACATCTCTTGAAAAAAATCAATCAATTCCCTTTAAATACTATGGATGATGACACGACAGCTAAGGTGGAAAAGAAAAAGGAGAAGTTCAGAATTTCCTGGGTAGTATCCTGATTCCATGCATCCGATGGTGTAAACAATTTCGCCGTTGTTCTTTTGCAATTTAACTTTAACTCTTTTGCAAACCTGAAACAACCCGAAAAGGGAAACAACTGTGTGCCTGACAACAGGTGAAACATGTTTCCTTCCCTTGTGAGCTTCATGGTAATACGTTTTTTTTTATTCTTTTGACAATTTGTTGGTAAAACACTTAATTAAAATGACTGTCTAAAAAGTATTATATTTTTTCAACAGAATCGCAGAACGCATATGTCCATCTGAAACTGCACAACCCTCGGTTGAATGGACTATAGGGGGAAGAAGTGTTCTTTATTATCGAATGTCCATTAAATCGTTTTTTCTGCCCTGAAAAAAACACTATTATACAACATGTATACACTAAATATATGCTTTCTGTGTCTTTTGACTTTTTTTAACAACTGCAATCAACACAATCTTGTCCTGTGCCTTATTTGTTGAACTACCTCTATAGGGCATCATTGGTATTCCTGAATTTTAAACCCACGTACTATTTATTTTAAATTTGTCGTATTATTCGTGAATTTCCTCGTTATTGTGGAGAAAGTCTGGTGTTTCTGATTTTACAGGAAAAAAACTCTAGCAGATTTTGCACATTAAATCCTAAATCCGTTAAACCGAGGTTTAACTGTATTAACGCACAATTTAACACTTTTTGACGATAAGAGCCAATATAGATACTGCTATCAAACTGTATTTACCTTTGAAATGCTTCGGTTTGTTTAGGATGCTGGGTAGCATCTGGTTGTTGGATTTCTTGAAATAAACTGTCCACCTTCGGAGAAAAAAAAACGTATAAACTGAAACGTAACTATACAGTAACCACAGTCTACATTATGCCACTACTGTTTCAAATAAGTGGAACTGTAAAATATATTCTTCGCAGTATTTAAGGAATATTTCCTTATATAATTATAAATGTTAAGCAGACACCTACTTTTCTTTTGATTTCGTCTGTATTCCTCTGCACAGTTTGCAAGGGACTCTTACTCTTCGGTGGCATTTTGCATTCGTGATTCGTAATTTTTTATATTTATCTTCACCCAATCCAGGAAGATAGAAGGTCTAGGCTTGCTACAACTCGGATTTATTTATGTGACTTTGATCAGTATAGTTTGCTTAATCCATTACTGTATTTCCCTACCACACACAGATCCACCAAAAGGACGCTACTGACTCGGTCGCTAGGAGGGTTAAGAAGCGACTGAATAATACGTCACAGACATGCGACGATTGTAATGATTGAATCTGAACCCTTCAAAGCCTTTATACTCAGTTCCACGTTAGATCATTTAGATTGTTAATTTTGCGTTTAAAGTGATCATTTTTAAAAATAACTATGTACTGTCATCCCGCCTATAAAGAGAGAATCTCAGCAGATTTTACATTGTGCAAAACATTGTTTTTTATTTTTAATATACAGAAATTATAACAAACAAGGGTATGCACATACAGATGCTGCAACATGACACAGCAAAGGCAACATCAAATGAATAACAAGACAGAGCCTTATCAACAATACGAAGGTTGCGTTGTGTATGGGTTACATTAAATAAGTTTATATGCTAAAATATTTCTGTAAATCAGTTCACCGAGCATATCTTTTTATATTTTTAATTAATTTGAGTATACCTTAAATAAAGTAGTAAATTCTTTAAAGCAATAGGAGTACTTTTCACTCTACACGTCTGTATGTAAAAGTTTGCCGGCGTAAGAATAACATTTAACTTCTTTGTTCTTATTCTGAACACCGAGAACAATATCACTAAGTTAGATTTACACTTAGTGTTAAATATTACTATTTAACCAAGAACAGACAGAGCGCCAGAAAGTGCCAAAATGATGACATGAGAAAAATGCGTTCAGTTGTTTCAATCTCCGATTCACAAAATGTACAAATGTTACAGTCAAAACTTTTCCTCTGATTTATTTTCTCAGAAATTCCTCGAGAGAACCAACACCCCGAAACTCTCTATATCCCACAATTCCTATCGGAGGATATTGCGTGAGTGACGTCACCATGCGAGAAGGTCAACACAACTCTTAGCAACTACCGCACGAACCAATTGCGTGAGGTGAGCTGACGTACAGTCAGCCATAAAAGAGCAAGTGGGGCTGGCTTATGAAAATTCTTAACTTCCTGACAGAAAATTTCGAATCTTTTGTAAATCATCTTAAAGTGTGCAGATCTTGCGCGAAGAGCAAAGCCGCACATACTGTAAGCAAGGGAGAGTGCGTGACTGGCTTTTGAGATAAGGTAACAATACTGATAACAAATAGTTCGTGGCGTAATGTACAAAAACGTTTTTTTTTGTAACATCGCAAATCGCTTTTCAACGATTAGAAGAGCTCTTGTTCTTAAAAGGTAGAGGAAATTTAGTTTTTTTTCCTGGTAGTAAACAGGTGTGAATGAAAACGTAATTTCCTTAATCCTTAAAAGGAGTCCAGCGTTCTCGTAGCATAGTACTACTGTATTGTACTACAGTAATAAGAGAATCAGGAACTGGAAACAAAAAGATATTTGTACCAATTAACATAACGATTACTGTGACTTTCCTAAGGTGCTTACGGTTAAACGCCTTTGGCTCACAGATCTTAAGCAATACAGTTGGTAGGAAGGGGTTCACGTTTAACTATTAATTAATTGGCTGGTTCCGTTTTTCGTTTAATAACACTTTCGAAAATCTGATAATTATATTCCATCCCTCAAACGCAGACCTCCCGGGATAGTATATTTTTTTAAACAGCACGGAGGTGTATAAGATTCATTCTACAATAATGACGTGTTAAGAAGAATTTCCAAATGCTGGAAATCCAGGACAGGAGTATCATCCCTTGCGCGGTCTAGTCGGGATTCCAGCTGTTGAATTCTGACCTTCCTGCAACTTGAGTGAACTTTGAGAGATTCCTGCTGCAAGCAGAGTGTCGCAGGAATCGGACCCTGAAAAAGAAAAACAAAACAAAGACGGGAATCATTTTTTTCTCAGAACAAATGCAGCTCAGCAAGGCAATATTTCTTAGTTGGAAAAACAAAAGAAAAGTCTTTACAGCATTCCTGAGTACGAAGTTAAAAAGTCCATCTAGTATTGAAGGCACTCCCCTCCATCGATTCAGTTTTATATAAATGATTGGGAAAAACCCAGTAACATCCTCAGTTTTATCGCAATTAGAAGAGGACATAACAGCTATTGTGTTTAGATAATGTTACTTTTTTTTTTAGAAGAGACTAGTATTAGTTGTTAAAAAAGACAAATATAGATATAGGTTTTACATGTTAGGGTAGAGGGTGTTGCGATTAGTCATTTCTTCCTAATCTCAATTTTATTTTTTTTTTTACAACATCCGTTTACTGTCTGACTGCTTGACTTACTACCGACACCAATTCTGTCTCCTAGGTTATATTAAAAATGAAAGGTGCTGAGAAGGTCTGAGATTTCCGCCGTGTTAAGAAAACACCACAGATTTCATGGGATCTGAGTGACAGCTGGTAAAAAGCCGTCAAATAGCGGGAACCTGTGTAATTTTCCATAAAGAGTCCAAATCTGAGAAAAGCTCTGACTGACTTTTGAAATTGGAACCAAGAAAGCTAAGTCTTAATATAGATATATATTGATGGACATCTCATTTAAAGTGTGTGATTATGTGATATTTAAATCAAATTCGGTGATACTTAAAGCAAAGGTTGTGAATACGAGGATTTAAAAAAAGCAAGTGCATTCTTTGCCCAGATGCCTCGATGGAAATTGTTGATGCGAAGACACCTGCGCTGGTCCAGCCCCTTTGCTCAGAGCCTGGTCCTGTGCCTGCTGACGTTTGTGGTTTTTCTGCCTATGGCCTGTCACCGTTTGCTTTACTCTTACTACTTCATCAAGCCTTTGTACCTGAACACCATGAGCGATAGATTTCTAGAGGAGAGTTATCAGAAAGGCCAAGAAGCCCTCCGTTACTGGCAGGGTGTGCACTCAACTCCAGTCCCAGACTTTAGAAAACATGCAGGCCAGAAGAGGCCAGAGCTCCTGATTACTGTGATAAGTGCACAACGAAAGGAGGGAAGTGGGTATCATTATTTACTGCAGGTGATGCAGCAGCTGTCTTCCCTCCTAGCGGCCTGTGGCAGACAAGGCTGCGCGGCGGAGGTGCTGGTGTGCGATGTGGAAAGGGATCCCCTGGCAAATGAAGATGCCTCCCTAGTGGGAAAATGGTTCCGCGTGATTCGAAGATCCCCCCAGGATTCAGACGGGAGTGGCAACTGGGTAAACACGTTTGAAAAAGAGAAGAGGGACTACGTTTTCTGTCTGCGCAGAGGATGGGAGATGACTCAGCCTGAAAACGTGATAGTCTTAGAAGACGACGCTGTGCCCAAGGAAGATTTCTTCCCTGTGGTCCAAAATTTGCTCTCTCGGCAGTTTTCTTCCCACACCCTCTACGTCAAGCTGTACCACCCAGAAAGACTGCAGAGATACTGGAACCCTGAGCCATATCGCATCCTGGAGTGGATAGGACTGGGGCTCATTGGGGCCTCTGTCCTGAGTCTTCTCTTTTCCCTCTCCCCTTCCTTCTCCTTCTCTCCAGCCCAAATGGTTTTCCTCACTCTTTACGTCATGGTGTTTGTGGAGCTCGTGGGGAGGCACTACCTGCTGGAGGTACGGCGCATTTCCCCGCAGCTCTACGCAGTGTCCCCAGCCACCGAATGCTGTACCCCGGCTATGCTGTTCCCCGGAAATGCCTCGCTCCGGGCTGCCGCGTACCTGGATGGGACCTTCTGTGAAAGGGGCAGAGCCAAGGACATTGTGCTCTACCACCTCGCCCGCTCCGTCCCGGGAGAGAGGGCTCACAGTCTGGAGCCCAACCTGGTCACCCACATTGGGGCCTACTCCTCCGTTCGGAGCAATCCTGTCCGGCCCCGCTTGCTCTGAGGCTGCCTTACGACCCTGCTTGAATCAGGGCTGTGCAGCTCCGGGTCTTGACGGCTGAGATTATGCAAACTAACACGGAATTAGCTTTATTTCTTGGTTGAAAAACTATCTGCCACAATACCGTCACTATCCAGGACAACACATACCCTCAAGTGCACTTTACTTCTATGAAAATATTTTCTATAGTTTTTAAATGTGACCTTTTGGGGTTTATTGATACTGTATGTCTTGGAACAGTTTAACCAGTGTGCAGCATTTTGTGACTGTTTTTTGGGGGATCATGAAATTTTACAATTGTGTGATAAAATATTGAATTGATCAACATACTGTAAGCTTGTAATTGATTAAATGCTGCAGAGTGTTGGAAAGACACATTGATGAAATTTAGATAGTTGAGTGCTGGAGTATGTCTCATTTACTTATTACTTATTTTTACTACCTACACTGTTCTCTGAAAGGGTGATGAAATGCAGTCAGACAGATGGAAATAATCTCTGATTTGGCCTTAGGCATGGCCTTGCAATTATCTTAGTACTACTCCATTTCCATCATGTTTGACATCAACATTAAGTGCCTTTACACCACTCTCATATCATCAATCCAGTTATGAGAATATTGGGCAGAACATACTGTATAATCACTGCATATACAGTATTGTTAATTGTTGTTTTGGGAGTTTCATTGCTTATTGTAGATGCATGTTTAATGTTTTGGTTGGTTTACAAATGCACTACTTGTTAAAACGGCCATGTTAGTGTCTGGGCTAAAAGGTACAATTGGAAATCACGTTTTTATGTGATTCAGTTTGTCAAATGTTTTGCCTTAATTTGTGATTCTTTGTTATAAACTGGCTTTACTGAAAGGTTCAAGAACATCTATAAAATAAACAAACAGTGGAAATGTCCTAAAACGGATATGTAAAAAATAGAACATGCTTTTTAGTACTAAATAAACCTAAGGAATGCACTACATACAAACAAACCTCTGGGCATCTGCAGCAGTATGCCATATCTTGCCAGTCTGCCTCAAATACTGTAGCTTTGGCTTATTTAATTAAATGCATCTTATCTTTTCCCCACTAAAATTGGAAATAGTTGGTTTCTGTACAACTGGTTAGACCAGCTTTTATATTTGCTTTCAAAATCATGGAAACTACTGACGTTTTAAAACAAAAGGATTAAAAATATTTTAATAGTGCATCAAAAACGTATGTGGGAACCAGTAAGACACTAGTTGGTACCTGAAATGTTGACAATAGCTGCACTGTTCACTCACCTATGGGACGTGTGTATTTTATTGTGGGCTTTTTATAAATCAATATTAGAGGAACAAATCATTGGCAATTGTATAGTGTCTGCAAATTCCTTGAAGTCATGTCCCTGTATTTAAATAAACAGATAACAAGGAAGCTAAGTTGTAGACTTCTTAATTTTAAAAGACTTACACAATAATAATAATTGCTTACACTTATATAGCACTTTTCTGGACATGACACTCAAAGCTCTTTACAGGTAATGGGGACTCTCCTCCACCACCACCAATGTGCAGCATCCACACTGTCAATTCTCGAGACAAGAATAGATCATTTCATGTCCATCCCTAAGTTTATCTGTCCAACAGAGATCTCCAAAGAGAATTTAAGAAATATGACAGTGTATTAAATAAAAAACACGTGCTTTTTTTAATAGATATTTATTTTTTTAGAAAATATAAAAAAATCTAAATTGTAGTAGTAACAGCACTCTTTTTGATCCAGCAATATACAAGATGACAGGTAAATGCATATCTTGCAATAAATCACTGTTTCTCTTCGAGAAATGTTTTCATGACTTCTGCGATTTCCACAGACCCACGCTGTTGTTGGCAATGTGTTTATCAGTTCAAAGCTTGCAGAACCTGAGAAAGAACATCACAAAACACCAGTTACACATGATTATTTAGTTGAGACAAAGTTTGCTTCTGCTATGTCAAGTATTTCACAATGTACAAATAACATGAATTTAGTATGAATACCATATTTTTCAATTTTACCTAGAGCAATATGGTTTGTGTTATGCTAAATACTAAAATACCAAATAACACAATCTGCTATCAGTTCACTACGATTAATTAAAATACATGTGCATTTTCACTATTTGGTATATTATTTTAGCTTATAGTGAATATATTTTCCTATGTATGTAATAGGTAATCTGCATGCGTGTTGCTATGTGATGTGTGTAGATTATGGCCAGAGAACACGTTTCAGCACAGAACTTTAGCACGTTGACTTCACATTTACTAAATGTATCCAAGATGTGTCCAAGCGCAATCTTGTTCGTCTTTAAAATTTATGGTACCTTCGTCTTGATCCACTAGCATAGCACTGACAGCGCTCCTCGAATCACGCCAAGTCCAGTTTCTTCTGTGTTTCTGAGAGCTTGTCTTGCAGCCTTTTCTTCCTCCAGTCGAGGAACCGCCTTCTCATTCTGTTTGCCTGCCAGCCCGCAACGAACCCGGACGCGAAGGAAATCAAGATCGCTATCTGCAGCGTCCTGTCCGATACGTCTGCCATCTTCACCTCTGTCTGGGCTGGAGCAGGAAGAACCTGCGGGGACGCGATGCGCGCTCCCGGGTGGCCACGTGACCGAGCCCGTGAGCAGGCGTGCTCGGCCGTCTTCTACGGCAGCTCTCGAGGCTCATACGTCTTGCTGCTCCGTAGAACGCCAATTCGCGTGGGGAAAAACTCACAATCACGAACGACCCGCCTCACTCTAAACTCTATATCTAAAAAATATCGCGTATCGGTTTCGTGCATGTTGTAATCCAAGCAATTCTGTCATTTCTCTTCCACGTTTTGATTTCCCTAGGAGCCATCCACGCGTTGTGAACCAGTTGTAAATGAAATCGTCGACCGACAGATGGGGGTATAATCACGCAGAGCGTGCGGGTGTGCGCTATTTCATTTTTTTTACAATGTTCCAAACTATCCGGAGTGTGGGATATCGGTTTAAAAATTGAAAACAATATTTTATTATTTTAATGCTGTTCCTCCGTCTGTTAGCCCTTTCCTACAAGGCATATATCCCCATGACAACAAAACAGCAGGAAAACGGCCTTGTTTTGTCTTGTGGAGATGTTCAAATGGCCAGTTAGAAGTTCCTAGTTCAGAGCTATCAGCCTTGGCACTTTGGCTTCATCCCATTGCTAGTGTTTTCACCAAATAGTACTGAGCGCAATGTGCTATTTATGATTAATTAGTCCATAGACTGGAAAGCTAAAAGTGCCAAGTGGATCAGTGTCCTAGTGTCATAAAATACATTTTATTATAATAAGTACTCTACCCATTTATTAGTAGTTAATATTAATATTTAATGTCAGCTAACATCGTTTACTTTAAAAGCACTGTGCTGTTTTGAAATATATAGGAATCTGGTTGGTTGGTGTGGCTTAACTTTCGTGAACCCTTTGATAAATTGCAAGCTCAAGTCAAACCCAGACGTATTTAACTTTAGCGCAACAAAATTTGTTTTTCACTATTCACTTTCACTTTTTTCCACTGTCATTTTTTCTTGAGGAACAAAAACAGAAAAAAAAATGTTAAATGCACTGAACTCGGCTCCCTCTCCCCATCTTTGATGAGGGTGAAGTGAAGAAATGGCTAGAAATCTCTGCTTGAGAAACATGATGTCTTTCAAGCCATTCTGACTGCCAGAGATATATCACTGGCGCCCCCGATCACACTCACCACTGCGTTATTCAAGAGACCAAAATCCTGCAAGCATTTTATAATCCTTTATTTTAAGAACACAGGTAAAGTAAGAACAAACCCTCATTTACAATAACGACATGGAGAGCGCCTGTTCATATAGCTGAACCTTGTACACAGGGCTTCAAACCCATGAAAGGTATCAGATCCCTAAAGACTACTCCATACATGACGAGATGAACTGGTCAAATTTCGCACGTCTCTAACGGAGAAAACACCTTCCTAACTTTAATTTATTAGCACTTCTCTGCAGCATCCCACAATTTAAAATGCAGCACCTACATAAGCTAAAAACAGAACATATAAAAAAAACAACAACCACTAAGTTCGAGCGCAAGTCACAAGTCATTTCAATTTACCGCTGCCAACGACTTCAGAAAACATGCACGGTGATCTTAACCTATCTAAACCTTCTTATCGGAGAGTGTTCTCGTTTATATGATCATTTTTGCTGCTATGGATTTTCCCATGTTACACTGCCATGTCTTGTTCTGTGCATGATTGTACTTCTTGTAACACTGTGCAACTGTACGCCTCTTGGCCAGATAGCCTCTGTAAATAATTTGTTCTCAATTATCTTAATGATCAAATAAAAAAAATATATTATTATGAATATGCCAACATTCAATTCCAGCAAACAAGAATCAGTAGGACAGGACAGCACAGTGGATAGAGATCCGCCGATAGGCTTTGAAGGAATGGATGATCTTTTACATCCTAAACATTACAACATAGAATCCCCAGTCTCAAACAATGATATTTTTAGTAATTATTGGTAAATCCATTCCTTTTTTAACTCAAATGTCTTGGGACAGTGCAAGTCATCGTTTTAGTTTCAAGGTTCGGTTTTCTTATTTTGACCAAAGATCTCCGAAAACCTGACTTTTTCCTTTCCTCTGAAATTTACCAGTTTCCGCCAGGTTTCTGTCACATGACGGGTCAAATATCATGGCTTCAGCAAAGAAAATATTAAACCGGTTTTATTGCTACGTTTTCTTCCATGCGTAATGTCTGAGTTCCGTTTCGAATAGTTTATATCTATTGTTTTTTATTTCTGTGTGTGTTTGGGGGTGGGAGTTTTCGGCTAACTGCTTTTCACGACGCACAACTGAAGGGAGGACCTCAAGACCAACTTGAGAGAAGTTTTGAGCTTTTGAGGAGTCGACTGCCTCTTAGCACGGGATTTCCTGCAAAATTCACGGGTTGAAAAATAAAACATTTCCATTGCCGAGCCGAGAAAGGAAGGTGCAAATCGAAATGTCACCAGCCGAGAAAGGAGACGGCACCGCCAACCCGACTCCTGCTGAAAACAGTACAATTAACGGAGGAAATACTTCAGAAAAACAGAGTAAAACTGAACTGGTGAGTGGCTCCACCAGTATGCTTTTTTTCTCTGTCATACTTGAGTTTTGTTTTTTAGTTCGAGTATAGCGGCTACAATGTCCATCATTCTGATGATAGGAGTAATCACAGCAGAGGAAATTTGTTGACGCGAGTTTTGGGAATTCTCTTCGGGAGGTATGTTTGCTGAAGTTATTTAATTTATGTACATTAAATGCCCGGTGATTTTGCGATTGCATTGCGGTTTAGATCTCGTTTCAAAAAACACCATTACGAATAAACAGAATAAAACACGTTGTTACTTATTTCAGTTAGTTTTGCTAATATGATGTTTGTGCTGTTATCTTTGGGTGTGTTGTTGGATTACACGGTAACCGCTGCGTTGTATCAGCCTGATGTTTTGAAAATCTGAACAATTTGAAAATCTGAACAATTGTTGTATCCACTATTGTAAGTTCACTTTTATTTGCCAGCCTGAATTCATAATGTGATTATTACGCTCGACAACATTCCGATAAGAAAGAGCTTATTAATTATAAATCGAGGTCGTTTTCATAATCAATTGCTGTGCTTGTACAGAAAATATATAAATGTTAAGACGTTTTCGAAACCATTTTTAATTTTTCAGTTGTTTGTGTCTTCAAAAAAATCTTTTTTTTGTAAGACCGAGTTTTCTCAAGTTTCGATTATAATAAAAAATGTATGCTGTTTCTGTGAACTGTGATAGTATGAATACCGTTTCATTCACTGGTGTGTTAATTAATGCAGGTACCCATCTGGAATATGCTAGTGTTACTGTAGAAGAAACTAATTTGACGAGAAGTCAGTTTGATGATTTCTCCAGCTGCACCCGAGATGTTCCTGTTTTCTTGTTTTTGTTAAAAGCAAGCAAAAAAAATCTTTAATTTCTTTAAAGGTACATAGTATGTGAATGGCCTTAATTCATAGGGATTTGATTATAAACCAGAAAAAATAAGCTCTGTGGAATTGCAGATAAACATATGTTTGAGCGATTTTATTTTGTGGCTTATATTACCGTAAGTGCATGGGCTTCATTTGTCATGAAACATTTTAATGAATAGACCTCAGGCCTGTCACATTTTGTTACATTTGTAAAAGTGTTCCTTGGAGATAGCAGAGAGAGGCTGAGGTGTGGTCCAGTTATCAGTATTGTAATACTAGCCATCTTTCCTCTGTTCCTCTTTATATACTGTAGTAGTCTATATAGTAGTCGCCTGCCATTAGTTAGTCCTGTATGTACAACATGTACTCACACACAGTGGACACACAGCACATTATATGTAAATCAAGACTACTCACTGATTTGTAAGGTAAATATTGTTAAATTGTTTTTATATGGTTAGCACTCATAATTGTAGTCACGTTAAGTGTTAAAAAGTTATAATGTATCAACGATGGAATCAAGATAAGGTTTACAATACTTGTCTATTTACCTTTATTTTCTTTTTTTAACCACTTTATCCAGTACAGGGTCACGGGGGAGCTGGAGTCTATCCCAGCATGCAATGGTCAGAGGGCTGGATACGCCTTGGGCAGGATGTCAGTCTATTGCAGGCCACACACAGACAAAAGCACACACAGTCACACAAGAGCCAGTTTTCCCAGATGCCAGTTAACATACCAGTTTGTCTTAAAACGTCACACAGATAGCTCACCAGGAATTGAGGCAGCAATGCTAATCACTGTGCCTCCCTACAATACTTGAAGTCTGCTCTGTTAATTGCAATATTTCTGCTTAATTGTAAGTGTAATAGTTAGAACCTGCAGGCTGTGGCTGTCCAGGATCAGAATTATAGAACCTTGATCCACTTTATAGAGGTAACAGATAACTCTGCTCTCATATCGTGGTGAGATTAAGACATGATGTGGTTGACCATTTCCTTTTCCTGTTCAACAGCCACAAGAAAGCAAAAGATACGGTATAGCTTCCTGTCGTAGTTCACACAGTAATACACTGCGCTAAACCATTTAATTTAATCTGCATGGTTTTCTCTAAATATGCTGTCTACTGAAAAGTAGAAAGACTTACAAAAAAGGGCAATTAATACAATTATGCATTCCTTCAGGTTAATGAATAGTCTTGTATGCCCATCTACTCACTGATGGTGTCAGTTAGACCTATTACTATAAAACCAAATTCCATCTCACTGTGAGTCATTGGTTAATATTTATCTGCTGATGAAGATTTTTTTTTAGATGAACGCTTTAGAAAAAAAACGAATTACAACAGGTTGATGGCATTAAGTGAAGCCAGAATATCATTAGACTATTGTAAAGTACCAGCATGTTTAACAAAGCATGAAAAAATGGAGAAATGACAGTAATTGCATGATAATAAGATGGGAAAACTGCATAAAAACCATTCAAATTTAAATGTAATTTTTCTTAAGGTACGGCTATAAATGACTGCAGTCACATTTCCACGCCAGTAAATCACCAATTTAATTGAGAAAGCAGTGTTGTGGTGTTCCTCCATCCATCTGCCACTGGAACACAGCCATGAGAAAAGTCAGATACATAGGCTGCAGCCAGGTCTGCGCACTCGTACATCTTGAAATAGAGGGTGGGCAGCTTTTTCAGGCTTTAGAAAGTACAGCCTCATGTATCCCTCATGTAGCAGAGCTGGTGAGGAAATCCCATGCAGGGCCAGGTGACGTCTCAACAGAGTTAACCTCCGGCTGTCAGGGCTGAGACGAGTCGCACTGAACACCTCTACCCTCAGTGACTCTGTCGGGTTTCCTGTGTGCTGCACTCCCAGGCTGTGGTTTTGCCAATCCCAGCTCTGCGGGGGTCATTTTGCATGTCTGGCGTTGTCCGTTTTTATCCACATAAAGTGTGTTCTCCCCCCCCCCCCCTTTATTGCTTATCCTGAATGTCCAAGGTTTTGGTCATTTGCGCTCAGACTGTTTGTGTCTCTGCAATGGCAGGAGCTCCAGTTGGCTGCTGCCTATGTCTCGGACGCTCAGTACAACCGGAATGTCTGCTTCGAGAAGACACCGCAGGGCATCAGGTGAGCATTTAATATCGGAATGAGCTGCCTTATCATTTCACAGCTCCACATGACCTGTGGGTGCCTAAGACAGCTCTGCCTGTCTGCCCTTCCATGGTTGTGCATTTGACTGAAGCAATCGCATATAAACACTGCCTCTCCTACGTATTGGATGCTTCTGGCATTGAACCTGTAGGTTTTCACAACCGTGCCATGTGAGATAATTATTAAATTCTTTCCTTGTCCTTCCATCGAAATGTGCTGGCTACAGTCAGCTCCGAGTGTATGAGCAGATTAAGAAATTAGGGTGACAGTGCCACCAGCTAATTCATAATTCATATTTCTCAAAACCCTTAATGTGCTGGAGAAGTATTCAGTCTATCATTGTGCTTGTTCTGGAGTCACCCTATTAAGCACAGTTTTAAAGGAAGAAAAAAATTGTTCTGTAACAAAATATATATTTTAGTTTGATCTTTATAAAGGGATCAAATGAACAGGCAACAAATTCATGAGAGTTTACCTGTTTGCAAGGATAACTGGTCGTTTCCCTTGTAAAACAAACTTGGCAAGTTTTTAAACATTTACAATTCTGAAGTTTCACACATGGCAGTGTTATTTGAACGCTATTAACTAGTAGAAAATGTCTTACGAGCCAGTGATAATAGTACCACTTTATCAGTTCTGGGTTATAATTAAATCATTCAGAGCTAGTGGAATGACCTTTTAATGTCTGTTAATACAGGTTTGGTATTATATGCAGTTGGCCAGTTTGCCTGTGGTCCCCCTGCTGACAGGACAGCAGGGAGAGATTATCTGCTCAGAACGTGAGGGAATCCAAGTGTTAAAGTTATTTTGCCAGCACACGGCTTCCTATTTTTAGCCTGTGTGGAAGCCAGACAGAAGCTTTCCTTCACTCGGTAGGATCGTCACTGTGGCGCTCCGTTATTCCAGAGCTGTTTGTCGGCTGAGCAGAAGCAGGAAATCCACCGCAGTGTACACCCCCTCTCCCTCCCCCTCACCCCAAGAGACAAACAGTGGAGGCGCGCAGCACAGTGTGCATGCAGCTCAGGCCTCCTCAAGCATCTTGCTGCTCACCTAGATCGCTGCTTTCTGATGGGGCATCTTACCGAGAATGCAGGCAGAGAGAGGGGACAATCAGGACAAAGTGAAACTCAGCTTTTGAAATGGCAGGACAAAAAAATAGGCGTGGTACACATTGCAATTCATTATTTGTCAGGCCTCAGTGTTTCTGAGATGTGTCCTAGGACTTAACGCTCTAGAAAAGATACAAAAATGTATGCCATCTCTACTGCTTGTTACAATGCCTTCTGCTTAATATACTCTAAGCAAGCGATGTACATGAAGGTGAATGTGCCTCTTCTCTCCCAGACTGTACAATCTCTACAATCACTGGGGCATGCTCTTGGTCACATACTTCTTCATCATTCTGGATCTTGCGCTTGCCGTGTTTGAAGACCCAGCTTTGATCCCCTTACCTTTGTGGGTAAGCATCGCAGCGGTCAGGAGCACGATGTTCCTTAGAAAGTAATTGACCTACAGAACTGGTATGTTGTCATTAGCCTTGCATGTTAAAGGGTAACTAAATGTGAGTGTAACGGTGGAATGGGCTCAATAATTCTGCAGGTTTGAGTGGGGAGCTGCATCACAGTGCCCTCGAAGCAAAGAAACAAGATAAAGGTTCTGCGCTGAGAAGTAGAAAGAAGAAACAAGTGTTTGGCTGTTGAGCCTCTTTAGATGTGAGGGGGAGAAAGCAAGGTAGAAGGAATATAATTATCTTGTAACTTTGGGTTTCCCAATGATAGACTTATGTCTTTTTAAATCCTCATCATTCGTTGATGATTTCCACTTTATCCAGCTCTCCCCTTGATATCCCTTTCTCACCTGTGTGCCCATTTTCAGCTGCTCTGTCCTTCTACGTTCTGCTACGTTTTACATTCCCTCCCGTTTTACAATATGTTTCTTTTATTGATCTTGTCGCATGTTTTCTGATCTTCTTAGTTTGGAAATGTTGCACACCTTCACAGTCCAGCAAGTCAAACTGGTGACAGGCCACACTGTCTCTTGCCCCGCTTACAATGTGAATTACGCCATGTGATTCAAGAAGCTGCCTTTTCAAGCTTTTGCATGCTAAAGTTCCTCTCGCCTTTTTTTTTGGATCCAGGCTACATTCTTGGCAGAACTCATCTGTCTGGCGGTCTTCACCGGCCGTCTTGTTCACTTCGCCAAGGTCATTCCATGGCAGAAGTTCTGGAAAGACACAAAGAACATTTGCGTTGTGCTCATCATATTGGTAAGTCCTGACATTTCTGACTTTTCAAAGAGAGCAAAGCTATGAAATTGAGGTATTAGCAATGCGTTCTTGGGTGTTGATAAAGCCATTTTATAGATTGTTTATATTGACTTAGCTTTTGTAGAAAATGTAGATATTACCACCGTATGGAAGCATCTCAAATGTTAGAGATTATTTAATAATAATTCCTTACACGTATATAACATTCTGGACACTAGACTCAAAGCGCTTTACAGGTAATGAGAACTCCCCTCCACCACCAGTGTACAGCTGGCTGATGCGAAGGCAGCCACTCCCCACATACCAGCTCTCAGTGGGGAGCAGAAAAGAGTGATGAAGCCAGTTCAGAGATGGGGATTATTAGGAGGCCATGATTGGTAAAGGCCAATGGGAAATTCGGCCAGGACATCAGGGTAACCCCTCTACTTTTTTCGAGAAAAGCCCTGGGATTTCCAAAGAACGGCACATTTTAACCATTCATTTGTTGAGATTTGGGGTTGAGCATTAAAACAGTTCTACAATGTTTTAAAAGCCTGCTTACCAACATGATCCAGTAAAACCTTGAATCTGCGTTGAAAGAAGAATTCAAAAGGTGGATTTAGACTTACGCTGACAGTGACTAGTATATGGAGACACGATCCCCATTTTAGCACCTAATCCATTGCTGACAAGATGGGGGTTTTGGTTAGATTGGGTAGTTGGATAGAGATGTATAGTCTTCTAGTAGAGTGAAATCTCCTTTCACAAACTTTCTTCAACCTTTATGTCAGTTTTGTATGCAGGTCACTTATGCCATTAACAGCATAACTTGATTTGACTGGAGTGGGTACTAAAGTAATTGCATGTTTGCAAAGAGGTAGTTGAACATGTGTGGGGGACATAAAGTCCCTAATATTATTTGTTTTAAAAGAATTAGGAAAGTCTGATCTCTCATTGTTGAAATATGGCACAGGATATAAACAGGAGCTCAGCTGCTGTGAACTGATAACTAAAATGAAACCTAGATTTCTGTTTCTTAGAATGGAGACATTTTTTGCCCTTCAATCAGTCATGAATGCTTCGAACCAGCCATCTCAGATTCATTACTACTTATCTCACAGGGCAGGCTGATATGCTCCATTTGTATGTACAGTACCAGAATGATACAGAGATTCACTCCAAGTGTTTTTTTACTTGGTTTATTTTGCTCCCCATCTGTTAAGAATTATGCTTAGAGAAACTGTTTATGTGGCTCCTTTCTGGTTGTTCTCCTCAGTTGACCTTGGTGGACATGTTGATATATGGATCCATGAAGGCATTTGGCTACTATGGAGTTCGTTGGTCAAGAGTGCTTCGGCCTCTGTTCCTGGTCAACATTACAGAGGGCCGTCAGGTGACCTTTCCTTTGTTCAGACATTGTTACATGTGTTTTACATAGAAGGCAACAATGTAGGCCTCATTAGTCAAAGAGCAATGTTGCAAAGCATGCAGCCTTTTCATGAAAACCTAAGGAATATGCTGTAAGACCTTTGCATTAAATCTGTCCTCTTAAAATCATCCTCTAAATTTGCTGGTCATTTTACCCTTAAGTAGTCTTATAGTAAGGGAAGGACAACTAGTGATGATTTAAGATGACGTTGAAGGTTCAGTAGAAGTATTTATCAAAACTGCAAACCAGTTTCTTCCAACCCGGCACTGGATATTCACTTGAGCAGTACAAGTGTTTTAGCAGGATAGCACATAGAAAACCCAGAGTGTTGCCTGTGTCTCCCCTGCTGTTTGGTTATCAAAGAGCAGTTCATGCAGTGTTGGATATAATCTTGGGTGCTTTGTTTTCCTGCAGGTTCGAAGGGCATTTAGGAGCATTCGAAACACACTGCCAGAAATACTGTATGTGTTTCTGCTGTTTATATTCAGTATACTGATATTCTCCCTTATGGCACTCAAACTGTTTGGAAAAAGGCAAGTGTGAGCTCGGTATTTACCTCCTATCTGCATGCCGGCTGTCTATCTTTCTTTTTAGTTAAAAAAGTCAAATTGGGTTTTTATGTTGTTCACAAGATTGATAAACTTTTTTTTCTGGGGAGTTCAGACACTGTTGAGATCCTTCCAAGTAGCCGAAGAAGGTCTTTAGACTGAATTGTCCTGAAACAAATATTCTTTTTTGTAACAATTTAGTCTAAACCATTGTGTACAATGTAAAATCGTCCTTTTATTGTGCAGTCTTTTATTTTGTATGCTGTACTTCAATCTACTCTAAAATCAGACTAACCTTTTCATTTTTGTGATATGACTGCATCTTTCAGTGTTGCATGATGCGCTGCAAAGAATATGTCAAATTGTAAACACTTGAATTAGTTGTAATTCTCACATTAGAATTAGAGTGTTGAACTGCCTCTGAGCAGCACACAATGTAAGTTCGATAAACGAGCAAAACTGTCAGTTTGAGAGCTGCTCAAAATGAAAATGTCAGGCAAGAGTACAATTTTATTTCTTTCTTGGCAGAAAACTTGTGACGAATGAAGGCACTCCATACTTCACCAGCTACCTGGATATTGTGTTTGAGTTGTATGTGTTGGTAACTACTGCCAACAGCCCTGATGTCATGTGAGTTAGAGATTCATAATCATATGTGTTTGTGCTGCATTATGTGTGCCAAAATAATGTCATCTTTAGAGAAGACAGTACTTGATGCTTTCCTTGTAAGCTTGGCAGCAGGCTTTCAAATCAGCATGAAAAAAAGACTTCAAGACTGGCATGATCCTATTTTACTGGAGTGAGCTCCCAGGAGATCATCAAAATTCTGAATGATTATAAATCAAAGATGTTCTCATCCCGTGTGTGTTCAACATTTGTTTAATTATACGGTATTAATGGAATTGTGATGGTGAATAATTTCAGTGATAAGGAGGAAAGAGACTTCATATCATGGGTGCAGGATGCCCTTCAATGTCTTTGGTAAAGTTACACATTTTTCCGAATTCCCATGCCACACTGCCTTAATGTCTTTAAGTCAAAGTGGGCAGGGCTTGAAAGTGCTCTTTCGGGAATGGTGTCCTACTTCTGCATTTAGAAGCGTCTGAAACCTGCAAGCAATCTTCCCTCCCTAAACACATGAAGGGGAAACAGGTGATGTCAAGCACTTGTGTCATCCATAGCACCCATGAGTGCAAGGAACATCAATAATGATACAAAAATCATACAGGACAGCGCTCACCTTTCCAGAATTCACATGCATCTTTATTCTCATTTTGTTTTCTTTTCAAGGATGCCGGCCTACAACTCCAGCTTCTTTTTTGCCTTGTTCTTCATTTTGTATATCCTGATCAACACCTATATCTTCATGTACGTGTTCCTGGCTGTTGTCTACAATAACTACAGGAAGCACCTGAAGGTAAGCCAGCTCCAGGCCATGCTGTTCTTGATCTTCTATGACAATGGATATTCAGATAGGCAGTTTCGTTTTCTGTTCACATAATTATTTTTTAATGTCTATGACAATTAAGCCACTGGAAAATTAGTATAATAGTATCTATAGTATTTGTTCTCTTCTTTAGCTCAATTGAACAGTTTTTAACCTGTTTTTAATTTTTTAGAGAATAGCAGAAATTCCTTAGAAGCAGACCAAGCAGATATCTAGATGATGTGACAGACTGAATTTGTGAACATAGCTGAATTAAATTAAAGCTGTTATTAAAACTGACAAAATTGTTTGGTAGAGACATAGTTTCAGGTCGTTTACTTCGGTGTCAACAGCAGCATTACCACCTTGTTGCCTCTCGTTGCATTTTAGAAGCTTAACGAGGCTGGGCCTGGTACGTACTGAGACGAGTACAGTACTTTATGGAAAACCAGGTTGCTGCTGCAAGTGATGATGTTTGACCTGTCAATGGCGCTGTTGCCTCTGGGGCAGAATTTCCAGTGCCTCAGTGGTGACAGGAAACACTGTGGTGTAGGAGGGGGTATACTGAGATGATAAGTGAGATGTTAAACTGGGGTCTTGACTACTTGACTTAAAGATCCTATAGAAGTCTTCAGAAAGACGGGCGTTCACCTCCGTGTCAAGGCTTAATTCCACTCGTGCTTGTGCGGCTAATCTGTCTCGAAGTTCCCCCTTTAATCAAATGTATGAAGGAGCTACTCCTCTACCTCGTCTGCTGTGAAGTGGGGCTTCCCCATGTTACCCCGGTGGGGGCTGCACTTTGGTGCTTTCTCAAAAGAGCTAGATAATACAGTTAGTATTAATTTTGCAAAAAATATCTTTATATGTTTAGTTTCAGGGATCAAAATAAATGTAAACTTAATTGTATGTTCCTTCATTGTCCGAATGTTAAACTTCACTGGACGTTCACTGTGGTGGATTTCAAACTCATTGTCATTTTCAAAAGTACAGAAGTTGAAGCTCGATCAATACTCAGCAACCCAGCCAGTAATGTGCACACAACAATTAAAGCAGAAACGCAGATGGATCAAGTATATAAGAGGATAGAAAAGTCTGGGAGAAAGGTCGAAGGCATGTGGTCTGGTGTGACCGCCTCTCCTGCTGGTAACTGTAAGGGCGGATCAGATTCGTGGTTGGACAAGGTGGGTGCGTTTGTTCCAGGAAGAAATGAAGAATCTGGTGAGAGCGAAGAGGCACAAGATGGTGGAAGCTTTCCGCATCCTGCAGGTGAAGCACGGCGGGGAGCCGGTCGTCTGCCAGTCGCACTGGAACCAGCTGGTCCGCCTTGTCCAGCCCGACATCAGCAACTCCCACCGCGAGCTCCTGTGGAGCGTCTGCGACGAGGACAAGAAAGGCTTTATAGGTGTGTCTTTTCCCCCGCGGGCCCACATCGCGAGCGGCGCCCCAGCACTGCAGCAGCTCAATAACAGCTGAAGAACCTGCTGCACACGGTCACATTCCTGCTCTCAGCACCTTCACCCCTGTACATGCACATTTCCCACTGCATCATCTACTGTAGTTTCAGATTATTAAAAAAATCAATTGCATGAGATCTGCTGAATCTGGCCCTCTTAATAAGCCAGAGAGCAGGGTCCACACAGTGGGAAATAGAAACTAGGATCACACCTTCCCCCGTCTCTCAACGACAGACTCGTTTCCTTCTAATCCTCTCTATTAATTTGCAGGTTGTGACTTCACACCTCTGTTCACATCTCTCAACTCCGCACCACCTGAGTGTCCACTCTGTCTCCCCCCTGCTCCCACCTCCTCTCCACTCCCAGGCTTTTGTTCTCCCCTGCTTTATCAGCTGCTGACTTTCCTCTCTTTCTCACAGCCGAAGAAGGCTCCACAGCTGAAACATTGTGTTTCTTCTCTTTTCAGCAGGGAATAAACCTTCACTTGTTCCTTTGCAGCCTACGCCTGCTGACGCAGCTCCCTACTTGAACTACTCTATGAAGTATCTTCTTCTGGAGATACAGTACCTGACCCAAAGGAAATGTATTAATGCGCACAGACTTGCATTAAAATATCTGTGGCTTGTTTAAAAAAATATGTTTAGCAATGTTGTTATGCTACCAAGATATTAATAATATATGAAACAAGATAAATTCGGAAGAATGTGGTCATTCTGCTGCTGCTGTGACTCAACATTTTATTGTAATGGGTAATTACAGCACTTTCAGTGGTTTGGAGTATTTCTGAGTATTTCTGTCCACATTATGTTTAGAATATACTTGTTAAGTAAATAGGACCTAACAGTATTGGAAACATAGAAATGACAACCCCCCCTCCCCCCTCAGAAAATAGGCAGATAGATTATCCATATTTGTTTATGACTTAAAAAATGTTCATTTGATTTTCCTTTAGATACTGCAGATACTTCTGGGATCTGTGTTGTATGGGAGTCAGTCACAGCAGATCAGTTATTGATTTTTTTTCCCCAGGGAAAGTGGCCTTCCTTCAGCTGGCTGACCTCCTCAACATTCAGATTATTACTCTGAAGTCCCACATTCACCCCCTGCAGACCTGGTTCCCTCATCTGTACAACAGCCATCCCAGCAGGCTCGTCTGCCAAATGGTGCAGCACAAGTAAGCATCCTGTTCCCTAGAACTGCCTCTGTCTCTCAAGAGCCACTCCCTGCACTTAACGGCGCTTGATAGTCGATTCATTTTGAACGGATTGTGTCCGAGAGTTCACTGTCTGCTGGATGAAGTGGTTTGGGGCTACAACATTGCTTCCATCCTGTCGGCTCGTTTAGCCCAGATCATACTGATGTCCAGCTTTTTAAAGTATGGTAATGGCTGCCTTTAACTTGTTTTTTTTTACAGTTGTATTGCTATTTTCCAGGAAACTTAACTCGAGGATTATTCTATTCAAATTTACAATGGAATAAGGTGAATTATAATTCAACATTTGAAAGTGATAAAATACTTTGCAATTACACCACAGAACAAATAAAAAAAAGACAAAGAAATAAATGTACTTCAGAGAGAACACTGAAGGCCTGTGCACGTGCTCTTAATAAAATACCCAAGTGAAGGTCTAGCTGGGTGGAGAGATACTGGTGTGTGAGGCTGATGCATGAGGGAGGCCAGACAACAACACGGTCATGAATGGGTGGAGAAGCTGGGCATTTAAAAAAAACAATTGTCAGCAGAACCACATTTGAACAAAGATTTCCCATGGTTGGGAAGACTGGTAATCAATATGGAAACCATGTATGAGTGACTTCTGTGATTAAGTATTTGTAGAACCTATATTTATCAATGGAAGTGGAATGTGTATTATACTGGTAGAGGAAATATGTGGCATGTGCTGTAATCAGACTTTGCATTCACCATGTGTTCACAGAGAGAGACGATATAAAAAGCAAAAAGCAAGTGTAGTAAAAAGCTGTAAAAGTATTTTTTATTTAAAAGCTGTGTGGTGTAAAGGTTTCATGTCAATATAAAACAGAATTTGTATCTGTATTTAAACATCAAGGAAGCCTTGATTCAGCTGAGTGCAGCACTAGTGCTGTTAGCGGTATGTTTGGGGGATGATCGAAGTTCCCTGTATCTGTACACACCAGCTCCCCCTCGTCTTTCGCAGGGCCTTTGTCTACGTGTACGACTTCATCATTGTGGTGAACGCCGTCTTCATTGGCCTGGATGAGGAAAACCCATTGATCTCCAATGCGGAGTGGGCCTTCCTGGTGCTGTACATGCTGGAGATCCTGCTGAAGCTGTACACCTACGACCCGCGGTCCTTTTTCTCGAGGCACAAGTTCTGGAACTGGTGAGAAAGGCCGACTGCCACGCCGACTGAGCACCCCCTGGCCGGCTTCCCTGCCACAGGAGGGCAGTCTTTCTGACATGTAGCAGGCTGGACTGCTGGAGGGCATAAGACACTTGAAAATATGAGCAAGTGTAAACCAAAACAGACAATTTGTTGTTATGTTTTTCACCCCACATTTGGTGGCAAGCTCACATGTGGTCAGACAGGGTAAGGATAATTTAAGTTACCTGTGTATGTACACACCAGCTTTCCATTGTCTTTCACAGGGCCTTTGTTTATGTATATGACTTTATAATTGAGGAAGACACTCTTCATTGGCATGAACAGTGAAACACTGAAGCATCAACAATTTAAACTTCCACAAAGAATCCGACTTCCTGGGCATCTGTATATTGTCCCTTTTGCACAGCTCCTGCAGGGTTGGTCCATAGTCACATTCCTTTACAAGCTCAGAAATGGCAAATTCCACACAAAGACTAATATTGCTCTGTTTACAAAGTCCAAGAGCCTACGTGCAGATGTCAGGTTGAAGCTATAGCTAATTAATTGGGCTTTCCTCCCACAGGTTTGACACAATCATCATCATTGCAGCTTTAGTGGCTACCACAGTCAACTTCGCTCTGAAGTCATGTGAGTATAAAACGTTTCAGCCTAGTGCAAGCACACAATAAGCTTGTTGGGAAAGTAGAATTATCGACAGTTTTTCTCAAATGATTTCTGCAAATTCGGGAATCTTACCACATGTCTGTATTTTAAAAATAACTAACAATGATAATTGCTTACACTTATATAACACTTTTCTGGACACTCCACTCAAAGCGCTTTACAGGTAATGGGGACTCCTCTCCACCACCACCAATGTGCAGCCCCACCTGGATGATGCGATGGCAGCCATAGCGCGCCAGAACACTGAGCACACACCCGCTCTCGGTGGGGAGGAGAGCAGAGTTATGAAGCCAGTTCAGAGATTGGGATTATTAGGAGGCCATGATTGGTAAAGGCCAATGGGAAATTTGGCCAGGATGGCGGGGTTACACCCCTACTCTTTTCGAGAAATGCCTTGGGATTTTTAATGACCACAGAGAGTCAGGACCTTGGTTTTACGTCTCATCTGAAGCACGGCGCCTGTTTACAGTTTAGTGTCCCCGTCACTATCCTGGGGCATTAGGACCCACATGGACCGCAGGGTGAGCGGGTGAATATTTTGATATTCTATATAGGGTGAGCATTTTGGTACTTATTGAGTACCTGGCATAGTCCTGTAAGAATTGCTGTCTCCTTCCATTTTTTCACACTTGCAACATAATTGGTTTTCCCATTAAAGGCATTTTATCTTATCAGTCTTCAGGGCACACCAAATTCCCTATGGTTACTACAGTGGTTCCTCTTTACTACGAGTTCTTATTCTCCACAAACACTGACAATCAACTTTGAGAAGCACAGAAATGTTTTTGTTTTACTGGTAAGGTTATACCACACTATAATGCATGCATAGTATTCTTCAGTTCCAGCTCCTGTCATTCCAGATGCAGTACAAGATTTTTTCACAGCACATTTTGTCTTTTATATCTGGATTAGTTTCCTCTGGGAAGTCTGTAAAACACGTGCTTTTGGACAAGAAAGCCCCGCTTAAGCTAAAACTTCCCGCAGTACGAACTGCGAGTTCTGACCCCAGCTCTTGAAGGGTCAGTGGTGTCTCCATGCGCTGAAGATCCCCTGCTTGTACTCAACACAAGCTGCCAGTAATTATTGAGCTTTGGTAGAAAAGGGATTTGAACCACCACCACCACCACCACCACCACTGAAAAGCAGATCAGCCATCTCTCAGGAAGACAATATTTTTTGTTTGTTTCTGATCAGAAGAGCATACACACAGAAGAAACTGACTCGTGACAGTGCGGGTCAGAGGTGAGACTGACCGTGGACCCTGGTCTTGGTGATGGGACTGCTTGCGCTTGTAATTTGTGGTCTAGTTTGCTCTGTGGTAGTTCTGTCCCTGATTACTGGGAATCTATAGGTGTGGGAGCTTTTCAAGCGGTGATTTGCAGGAAAATAACGGTGCAATCTGAGAACCCTGTGGGCCTTAGTCACATATTTAACATCATTGCACGGGTGCTTTTTTATCCACTCAACAGTGACAGTACAAAGTGGACATCAAATTTCTGTTCAGTCGTGATGCACTGATTAACTATTATTAAGGTAACTTAAAGACAAGAAGTCTATTTTATATTAAGAGATGTATACAACTGCAGACTTCAGTATTGTACCCCTAATTTCAAACAGTGTTGTTACCTAATTTATTATAATAGGTATTTTTTGTAAACTCTTCTTTTTGAACAATGCTGCATGTCCTCATTCTTCCTTGAGGTAGTGGTCAAGATTACTGCTAATTTAGCTGACTTAAGATGGGTTTCTCTGTCCTTTTCCACTCTGCATCTGTCTTGGCAGAGATACACATTGATGGTGAAAAAAGACCCCAAGAAATCAAAATGTTTTTGAAAAAGATTGAATTCACACTTAAATTTAATCTATGCTGACATATTTAGCAGTGTTGCTAGATGGATCACAAAGGCCCCATCTCGTGTGTTGCTTCCCATTGAGCTGCGCTGGAGCAATTTGTGTGGTCACCAGCAGTTGGCTAGACTTCTGTTGTTAGATTACTGTAGGTCGTGCCGTCTGGTCTTATTTTTTGAGCATATCCAAAAAAAATCAGAGAAATAAAAGCTTTATTATATATCGTCTCAGAAATGCGATTTCCCTTGAACAGAAATTTTTGGTTGTAGCACATCGCTGCCTGTTCTCCCATCTAACACCATTCAATAACCCGCTATTCTGTCATAAAACTGCTGGCCATTCCTGCTTGCTGTCAGAGCTTGGTGATGAGGAGGGACATGAAATGTACACTCGTCTTTTGTTTATTTCAGCCGATGGCTATACCAGCCGTCAAGTACTGGATATCGTCTTTATCCTGAGGGTCCTCAGACTTATTCGCATTGTGGACAGTGTTAAAAGGTAATGGTGAGCTTTTTACTTTTGCCTTATGAGTCCACCTGTGAAGAGTATCCTAATCTTGGTCCTGATCCCCCCACATACTGTACGTGTGCGGTCTTTTGTTTCACCCGAGCACTCCCTTAAAAAAAAATCACAATTTAACCGTTATGTTTTCTACAAGTAACTGAAGGTTGACGATCTTTGAGCGGGGGAAAAAAAACACTAGGAGAGTGTCAGAGTTTCCAGCCAAGAAGCTTGTTCAGTAAAGAGCTCGGCTGCAATGAGGATCATGTGTGTTGGTCCCCACGGCCAGGATAGAGAATCCCTGCGCTGGTCCATTAGACTGCGTGAAGCAGTTAAGGGCAGTTGAATGTTGATCGGCACTGACCTTTTTTCTGTCTCCTTCAAATGCGCGTTCCTCATGTTCCGTGTGTTCTTACTCCTGTTGTCTACATTTCTGCGTTGTTTCTCACGTGTGTTTCTGCCTTTTATTTAGTGCCCGGCAGTGGAGGGGCATGACCTCTAGAACTCCAGCTTTCCTGGCTTTAAGCCTCTGTGCTTTTTTTAAAGACGTGATAATGGTTTCAGGCAGTGCGAGAGACCATAATGCCTTTTATGCCTTATGCAAGGGATTAGACAAAAAGGAGAAACATTTATTAATAATTTTGCAAGTTCAGCAAAACTACAATTTTATAACCATTTTCCATTTTTTTTTCTCCTTCCAGGTTTCGGACAATCATCAATACTCTTATAAAGATAGGACCCACAATTATTACTTTTGGACAACTCATCATTGTAAGTGTGGTGGTTGGTAGATTGATTTAACGGGCTTCTCCTTCACTCTAGAAGGGCCAAACCTCAATTCAGTGTCATTCTGTCCAGGAGTGTTCAGAGGAAGCTTTTCCTGCTTGTGTGCAGTATTACTTTTTTTAAAGTAATTACTTTCTGTATAACATGTCGGGCTGTAGTATCTCCTTGTATCCCCTGCATTGTATGTTTTAATCTAAAGGAGTCACAGTTGTAGGTGGCCGGAACAGTACAACTTTAATTATTGGCTGAGCTGCCTTGCAAATCTACATGACAGAAAGCTGACTGAGCTGGAAATTATTGAGCCGGTAATGGTTTTAGAATATTATAGATTTAGTTCTAATTCTAATTGGTTTCAGAATTAAATTTTACTCTTGAATGATGCTAGCACTATAACTATTCATCAAACCAGATAGGCCAAAATCGTGGTCTAAATAGTTTTTGGACTTTCTTAGTTTTAGGATCTAAATGAAAAATCGAATCACTAACCTGCATACTTTTCCCCACAACCACACCAGCAAAAAGTAAAAAGGGTTCTATTACAAAAATTTTAATCTGACAGTAACTTAAGCTTTTAAAAGCCATAACCTGCATGTTCACAAATGTGAACTAGAGGAAGAGTGTTTTATTCTGTAATTGTAAGGTAAATCTTGCTTCTGTAATCATTTTTAGGTGGTCTATTATATATTTGCCGTGGTTGGAATGGAGATCTTCAAGGATAAAATCAAATTTTTTGCGCCAGACTCCACTGCTTCTGCACAGAACTACTGTGGAAATCCTCTTCTGAAAGACACTGCCTTTGCCCAAAATAATTACTGTAGGAACAACTTCAATGACATTGTGTCTTCATTTGTCCTCCTTCTGGAGCTCACTGTTGTCAACCAGTGGCATGATATCCTTTTGAAATTAAAATGCATTTCATCTGTGCTGTAAAGAGTCTTTCTGGAACACAGGCATTTTTATGTATTTGGAAAAAAAAGCTGTTTAACCCTAAGTCACAGGAAATTGGTTATTGGATGTATAGATCCAGCCAAATCGTCACACTTTCTTAAGCAAATGACAAAAAACTATCGGTAATAACATGCAAGTGTTGCATTCACACAACTTATAAGTGTCACAGTGGGCATCATTTCTCCCAACATGATCCGTTCTATAGTATAGTGACCATCCAGTAAGGACTGGTTTTATTGACCAGAACACCATGCAAATAAACACCAAACAGAGATAGCCTCCGTGGAACCAGAGAGCAATAAATCAGTGTAACTTCTCCTGGAAATTCACTTGGCGAGGAATGTTCTGAACTGTCACAGTGGAGTTGTGTTCAGTCTCTCCTTATCCTTAGCATGAAGACACAGCTGCTCAGTTTCACTCCCCATGGGTACTAGAGCTTGTCACGGAGGGCTGAGGGAAGAGAGCAAGAGCCCTGTTCTGCTACAGCTGAAGCAGTCAAGTCCCTGCTGCACAAGAGCACTGTCGCGGTTACTGTACCTGTACCTGCTGCGAGGCTCTTGTGGGCAGAAACTTGAACATGGTCACGCTGACAATGAGGGGAGGAGCAGTTAAAAGAGAGTCTCATGCTTATCCGCAGGTTTAAAGAATGAATTACTGGAGATGAAAAGAGCAGTGTTTTTTTTACTGTGATCACCGTTGAATGTTTTCTTTAACATGTGCACTCCTGACAAGTGGCTTCACCACAGTCACCCACACTGCTGCTAGGATCTTCTTCGTCCTGTTTCACATTGTGGTTGTTATCATCATTATGAAGTAAGTTTGCATCTTCCTTTTTTTTTTGACCTAGCCTTGTGGGTTTCGCAGCATGCTACAGTAAATGTACTGTATGAACTCCATTGCACCAAATGGGAAATGCACTGTTTCTGCAGAGGTGAAAATATTAAAGTACATCAGTTGTGTAAGGTATAAGAATACCCAGGAATACCGCGATGCATTCTGAAGCCTGAAGCAAGCGGAGAACAAACATCATGTAGTTGTGTTTTTATGATTTTGTTCAGATAAACAAACAAAATCTAATAAATCTGTATTTTTCTGTCTGATTCCATACAAACTGCCCCCCTGAGCTATAATTTTAAGTTGCCTCTAGCTTGAAGCACATGAATGTGTAAATTGAGCAACAGTACTTAAATATAAATATCTGGGTGCTTAGCTACTCTGAGTTCACATTAAAAGTGAATGCTTTTGTTTGAAAATGAAATGAAAGTCGGAGTTTTGTTTTGTGCTGATTCTCTTATGATGAACTCACCATTCGTTAATATCTGATTGTATCCTGCGCACAGTGCTTCTCCAGAATTCAGTAACACTGATCTTTCAGTTAGCTGATTATATACCTGGGCTGCACAGATCTGGTCCTAGAGAGCCACAGGAATACATCTCATCCACTGCTCTGTTTTCATCTGTTCACAGCATTTTAGTAGCATTCATTCTGGAAGCTTTCTTTGTGGAGTACACGTTAGCAAAGAGCGATTTACAGACGTCAGTCGAAAAGAAAATCCAGGAGCTCGAATTAGGGATTCAGCAGTAAGTACAGTGTTTGGACATTTGAGATTGCTAGTTGTGTTGATGACATTCAGAGAACAGGAACAGCATTCAGGAGCCGTGCTTTTAAGGATTTGAACGTTGGGAGCTGTAATGTTTTATTTTTGCTTTATTTGCTTTTTTTGGTGCATATAATTATTCTGAACAGGAGCAGGACACATTAGGAAAATATTTACAAACTTTGGGTGCAGATTCAGTCTTAAACTGCTGAGTTTCCTTATTAAGGTTTTGAAATCTAGTTTGAGAACTAAAATGTTCCCCTTGCTCCTGATGTGGGTGTGACTTTATCAGCTTTCTGACTTGTGTTACTATTCCCTTCTTCCTGCATGAGGTTTCTTTTCACTGTATAGTACAGCTTTTTGTGTTTATCACATGGCTTTTAAAACGGTGAACCTCTTCTAGACTGTGCACAGCTACCGTCTTCTGCTTTTCACTCCACCTCTGCTCTTAGTGACTTAATTGAGTCCATTATTGACATAATTGGTCCCAGTCACAAGTCTCCAGCTCTTGCGGTTACTAAGGAAGTAGAGTTCACTATTTAACCTGCAGGGCTCTGGAGGGAAAGTCACTGATTTAGATGTACGAGTCAGACCCAGATGGTCTATTCATATAAAAGGAAACAGTTCAATACACCAATCTTTTGCATAAACCTGTGGAGGAAAGTTTTTTCTTCTCATACCCTTATTTTTTACAATTGGAAGGGGGAAATTTTGTAGGAGGTGTTTCATATATAGTGGTGTAGTGTTAACAGAGCCCGGTGGAGCGGTGCTCCATCACCATTTTTAAAAAAACTCTGACCGTTGGAGACAATTCATTTCAGCACATACAAACTAACGTGGGTGAATAAAACTTTCTAGAAACGCTCAAAAGGATAGATAAGAGCTCAAATAATTTAAACTTGATACTCATTTCCTTTTTGGACAGACTTAGTGCACTACACAGTAAATGATCATGCCCCTTTGTAAAAGATTAAATTTAAAAAACAGTGCTCTATTTATTGAATATATTACCATGTTTTGGGTACGTACTGTATAGACTAATACAGTATATTTCTGACATGTGTTAAATTTATTTTATCTTAAAACACAATATTTTGATGGTGAACTGAAGCCATGAATAAGAGAAAGTTTCTTTTTTTGGCTAAATTATTTTTGTCTTTAGTGAAATATAATGTCTCTTAATGTATGTAGTACGTAGCATCATGACAACTCGGTTGCTTGTAATCTTAAAAACAGGTCTGAAATTAATTGCCTTTTAACTTTTCAACCTCTAAAACTTATTCTACTCAAATGTAATGAAGTCATTAATCCATCCCAAAAATGCTTTTCAGTATTGATAAAATCTGAATGTTCTGGCACTAAAAAATATAACCATGGCACAACTGGCTACTGAATGCCAAATGGCTCATTCTGGTCCCTGTGTTCCTGCTACCTTTAGGGATAAATTAGACGAGACTCTGGTGGGCAACATGGAAACTCACGAGAACGAACTGGGGCCTTCCGAACTCTCGAAAGGAAAGCCTACCCTCATGTTCAAGATTGCTTCAAAAAGTGAGTGATGCAGAGATCTTAATCCCCCGTTTAAAAATGGCAGAATTTCTATGAGCGCAGAAGTAAGTAAAATGAGGTTTCAGGCTGTGGACAAGCAACAGTGTCACCCAGAGGAGGCCTTACAGGGAGATCCTTGAGCCCTGCCAGCCCTGGTGTCGTCCACTAGATGCCCTGGAGCTCTTGCCTTTCTGGTCACACTGTTGTAGCCCATGCTGACATTGTGCCTCTTGTCTCTTCAGGATACAGGACTGTGGACGCTTTGCTACAGAGGATATTTGAAGACGATCTGAGTCCCGAGGACAGTGGTTCCTCTTCAGAAGACCACGAAGGCGATCCTGATAATCCACTGTCTCCTGGCTTTAATTTCCAAAACCCATCCTTTGACGGCATTAACTGAAAAAAGTGAATCGTTTAAACATCGAACTGTTTACGCTGGCATTATACACAAACTTTTTTAAACCTCCTACATACAAATGAAAGGTCTCTTTTCCCAGAGGGATCTCTATATCAGTTGTGCAGGAAATCAGAAATTATAAACAAAGGGAAATTAACATGCTCGTGCATATTTGTTTCAGTGCATATACAGTATTTCTCTATATATAGAATATATATTTACAGGTTTATTTTTTAAATACTTATTTCAAATTATGAAAAACCCTTTTCTGTCCCTAAAAAGTGCTTCATATGCAGTATTCTTTACCTTGTATGATAAATTATTGGGAATTATATGAAATGTATTCTTCTCTAAAGATATTTTGAGTACAGTTTTGTTGAAAACTAAATTGTGTGTTCCTTATTTTAGTGGCTACATTCAATTCATGCTCCATTTTTGTTGAATTCTCAGTACTCTAAAACTGGTATCTTCTACGTTACACATTTGATCAGTGTACATCTGAGCTTGCTAGTTGTGTTGATGACATTCAGAGCACGGGATCCAAATTCAGGAGCTGTGCATTTAAGGATTTGATGCCTTATGTGCATGTGATTTTTCTGAGAAGGAGAAGGACAAAAGTGTTTAATAAGCAAACAATGGTTCCCACTACGTTTTTTTTGTGAAGGTTACACATGAAAATGTTCTGCATTGTTTTACTTTTTTCCCAGATTCTTCACTAAACTAATCAGTTTATTTAATGCTGTGTCATCTCATGCATATGTTGTAATACATCTCCTCCATCTGGTAAAGATGCTGGAGGTCTTGTTCTCTTGTGTTTGACTGGGGCCAGCAGCCCAGGGATCGTAAGCTGTTGAAGCCAGTACCATGGCTTCTTTCACAGAAAGCTCTGGATGCTGGCTGAGGTCCTCCGATATATTAGCTGCTAGCAACTAAATGAGATAGATGAGCCAAATGAACATCTCTCATTTTTAATCTTATATTTGTAGCAGCTGGATTCATTGAATATTCACAGATGGGGGACAGCAAGCAAGACTGAAACTGCTTGGAGACTTGAGGCCATATTGCTATAAGTGCAGGCATGTAGGTGTATGAAGTATAAAGCTCTGACTCACTTATGTTATTTATCTGTCCTTCTGTGTGTTTCCATGTCCTGGATGCAATGGTCTCTGGTCCCTGCACCATGAGTCAGTCTGACTGTGCAGCCCAACCCTGCCAGACCTATTGCAGTACATGGGCTTCCAAAGCTCTGTTGCAATACAAGCCCATGCTGATTTTACAGTATGTCAGATGTAATAGTTCACATTGTAACGTTACAAAGTGAAAGCTGGTGAACCTTTGTGTGGTCTTACCTTTGGTATTTTGGCAGTTTATTGCACCTCCACGGGAAAAGGACAAGAAAAGGGAGAATTCTCCTTGAAAGGTGAGGCGAAATCCGGTGCACATTGATGAGACTAGACGGGGTCGTCAAGGGGCATACTGTATGAACAAAACTCAGTTGCGAATAAGAGGGGCAGCCTCCCTCGTTTCGTTGCTGGCATTGATTTGAGGACCACGTCCAGTCGTTTCTTGGCAGAAGTGACGGTATCAGCTCTGACGTGGAAGAAAGTGTCTCCTGTTCTCAGTTTTAAATGCCTGCCCCCTTAGTTTCAGTTCGTGCCCTCTGGTTTTCCTGTTTCACATACTGCATTTTGAGCTGCGGCTCAAAGATTCAATATGATGATTGTGAATACACAGAGAAGCGGGAACAAAGTGCGTGGGGGATATTGTTCCTGCATTCTGTTGGCAGCATTTCATTTCCCCCTTGGTGTTGCTTAGCGTCAGTTTCTGATCCAACAGGTTAGCCGTGACCAATGTAATCATTTCTCTAGTTTTAGAAAGATCCGACCAGCCTGTTGTGAGTCATCTAGAGCCAAATTAAAATTGAGGAGGTTTGTGGGGAAAATGCAGATGGGATGTTTATATCTGATAATGGCCTGGAGCGTCTTGTTCTTTCTGCCTGCTTTTTATAGGGGCTCAGTTATTGCAGCGTCATAGATCTATTGAAGCCGCAATGTTTTCTTTTCTTTACTATTTATTAAAACCTGATTATGGCATTTGATACAGAATAGCAGTTGTATTTTTGATGCCACTGAGGAGCATAATTTTATTTCAGAAGAACACTTGGAATAGGAGTGGAAAGATCCAAATTAGAAAAGGGCTTGAGGGTAGAAAATAATGATATGATGTCCTCGGGGACACTCTAAAGACTGTAGTAACATTACTTTGCAGTTCTAAAAACATGTTCTCAACTATACATGCAGTGTGGCCTGGAAGATTTTAGAAATGGATGCCCTCTTGGTTGTCCTTGTGCTTTTTTCTGCATGAACCAACAGTATAACAGACTTTTCTTCACCAGTAACCCACTGGTGGTATGAAATACCATATTAATTGATTGAAAACGGCAAGAGGGCAAAGATGAGACTGTATATGTGAACCGTTCCAGTCTATACTTATTTTTGTGGTATCACCTTTATATATAGTATTGTAGTTAAATATATAGAGTTTTAGTTAACTAGTATTTAGTTAAAAGCTCTATATTTGAGTAAGGAATTATGTATTATTTTTATTAATCGCAGTTGTTCTTATGGCAATGGGATAACTGATCATAAAATTATACTTTTATCTTTTAATGGAATGGAATATAAAATTGATTAGCATGCTAAGATATTGTTACAGTCGTTTAATTAGATTAATACATAGATATATAACATGATCAAATACAATTTAAAATTGCCGGTTTGGTATGCGTTATACTCTCAGAACTTGATTTTTCAAGTCTTCTAGACCGATTCTAACGCACCCACGTCAAAAGAGGTTTTTTTTTTTGCCGAATACTTCACTCAAGTTGCTACGCAACTAAAACATCCACAGTTAACTACAGCTCGCTGACGGTCCAGGGAGCGCAGGCTGCGAGGTGCATTGTGGGAGAATCCCTGTGATGCTGATTCAGGAGGAGAAGCGGACGGCGAGAAGAGGAGGGTGGAAGATGGTGCAGGAGCGAATGAGAAAAAAACTGCAATGACCCCGCAAGCCGAATAATGCGCCTCGGCGAAGCTTCCAAAACTGAGATCTTATTAAGGCGGCAAAAGAACAGGTCAGAAAAATTATATTCTCGTGCTTCTTTTCTCCCTCAGCGCTGATGGTGTGCTTATCGTTAATGCATTTTTAGCCGTCCGGATTTCGTTAAATTGGCACCCTGTCTATTGTAGGAGGCTGGCAGTAGCAAACGCCCATAGGGGAGCACCTTGCTATTGCCGAAGCGTGACCGTATTATTTTGGCAAGGAACAACTAGACAGCCTGGTATTAAAACAAGCAACGGTCCCATCCGCATTATGCCATCTGAGATGAATTAATTAATTGATGTCATTTATGTTGAATAATGTTAATGAATAATTGACTTAAATGCATTTTAATGCAGGCCTTATAAGAAAAGCTTTGTTAGTGCTTTATGGGAGTTGTAGTGTTCGCCTCTAAAAGGTTCTCGTAAAGAGTGTCGACTTCTTATGCGCGGAACGACATCTCCCATGTTGCCCTGCTCGGCCTACCCGGTCTAATGAATTATGCCTCACACCTATGATTGTCAGGACATTCCTCCAATGAGAGGCTGCAGAAGGTGGTCTTGGGAGGCGGGGACAAGTCTGAAGGGCTTGGCCATTGGGCGAGACCAAAAGGGGGCGGGGAGCGAGGCGCGTGGGGTGGCTGTTGTTTCTTGGGAAACCGGTGTCCTCGTGCGCCGCCTGTCGCGAGGACGATGCCTGTTGTTGGGTGTCTATGGAGTAGGGGCTCGCGCTGCACTGCGGACAAAAAAAAAATCTCTCTGTAGGTGGAGAGGGCAAGCCTGTAGGATTTCCGCGATATAAAATAAAGAATTTGAACTCTTTCCCCCAGCTTTGGACTTTGCAGAAATGTAATTGTCCTCTGTCACTTGCTACAAAGAATTAATTTGTGTTTTCATAGGGAAACGCATTCACGCTGCAAGAAACACTGCACGCGAAAATGTCATTTGCAGTAAATGTACTTGTGTAAATGCACACAGATTCGAAAGAATGGAAAAGCTACGAGTAATTTACTAAAAATCAGGATAAAAAAACTGATTGATAAACTAGGTTACTTTTTATTTACGAAGAATGCGGTATATATCACCTTGATAAAAACAGTGATGGATATTTGGCAAGGAAATGCATATGTAGCTACCCCAACACATCATTTATGCGAACGGAACACACATCATCTGCCGGCATAACAGTGTGCGTATGTACCTTAACACAGCATAAATTAACAACAGCTGCATTAAACGAGGGTAGAACAGGGCAGTTACGCTCCAACTGTTTCTCGGTTCTGGTATCGATATGCAACTTAGGAGATGGATTTTCAGTGATGCGGTTTTCGGTCTTGCGGGATAACGGGAGCTGACGTCTGGGATGGCCCAGCGTGCCGACGGAGCTGCAGAGCTGGATGCGGTAGTGTAGCCGAGCCCCTCCATGCTGCTCAGTCGTGAGGGGCACAGCCTCTGGCGGGGCGGGCGGACCGAGTGGACTGTAACAGGGCGCAGTGATGGTATCGTGAGCCGACCGCTGCGGCGTGTTTTTTTTTCTCTCTCTCTCTTTCCTCTCTCCTTTCTCAGTTTTTAAAAATCTCCCGGGCGCAGGTTGTACTGCGGTGGTTAGGGACGGGTTGTGGCATGTGCAGCACAACCCTCATGATCCCCGGTGCTGAAGGTTACAGGGCGGGGAAGTGACCACTTTAGAGTCGGCGCCAGGTAAATCTTATTCGGGACGGTGCCCTAGCGAACTGTCATTCGGAATCGCTTTGAACGACATTATTTGCATGATCGATGTGATGCGATGGCAGTGACTCAATCCGGCACGTTTGGTTTATGATAGTTGGCTTTTCTGAAACGACAAGAGTGTGCTATTCGCGTGCGGGTGTGTTACAGGGGCTGTGGTTAGGCTGTGTGAATGAATGAAACAGAGAGAGACCGTATTTAGCAATGGGATTTCGTCGGTGTTTTGGGGTGACCGTGTCCACTGAAGTGAATGAATTATGTAATGCACACGGGGTTCCTCTGTGGTTTATTATAGCCTCTTCATATTTTGGAATCCTTCGTAATTAATTATTTTATGGTACAATACTTAATCGCATTCGTTTTTTTACAAGTACAGTACGAGCATATACAGTACAGCTAAAATGTATAGGGAATAAAGCTTTATTACCCCTATATTGGAAGGATTCAGTTAAATCGACTTGTCATTTAGATTTACCCGAGAGAAAAACGTTTTGTACAATAAATTTAATAATGAACATGTCTGATCTTTCTGATGATTGATGTTTTTCATCATTTTAAAAATATTAGAGCTGTCCGTAAGGCAGATTATTCCTAAATTAAACCGAAGAACATTTTTGTTTTTTTATAGCCCACATCGTTCGCTTTGTTAAAATCATCACATACTGTAAATACCATGATTGTAGTGGTATCTTGTCAGCTCCACGTCATTTAACAAAATCACAACAATATGTTTTATTATCAAATGGTGAATTAATAATGGTTACATGTTACATTATCACTTCCATTTGGAGCAAGATAAAAACTTTCAATTTTAGGTAGACGTGTCTCCTTTCTGCAGGCCTCTATGAGCTATCTGGAGCATAACGGTAATTTTTAGTTCATTGGAGTTCCCTTTGCGTGGAACAGTAGAAAAAATACGTGGATCTAGTGCGTGTTTTGTATGCGTTTGGAAGTACTTAATTTACTTAAACATGATGTTAAGGTTTATTTTATCAAACATTTGTTTTGGCAGTTTCTGGTGTCGATAAAAGTGAGGGGTAAAAATGCATACCGCTTAAATTTCAATTTTTCTTTGCCGTTAATTCTTCGCCGTGTGTTCTGGCTTGATTTCACCTGTATACTGGATTTTTTTCCTGGATTGAAACTAAACAGACTTAATTTCGCGTCAGAATCTACAGCGGTCAATCTTTCTCTTCCTGGCATTTATAGTCAGCTGGAGAGCTGCATAAATGTAAGATCTGAACAATGTCAATGTTTTTGGAAGACTGCAAGGAGGGTATATATATATATTAAGGTGGCTAATGTTATGTGATCAGAATGCAAACGGTTTAATATGAGGTCTAAGAAAACAGTTCCACAGGGATCTCCTGGAAAATGAGTCTTTTCCGCAATATCTGTAGCGGTATCTGTGGACTAGGACATCCCAATGGGATTAGGATCATTTGATCACCTTTGAACTCTGTGACAGATATTTTATTTTTCATTTATTTGTTTACCTTAATGATGAGCCAAACAATGTGGCAACATTACAAGACAGGTGAAAGTGGTAAATGTCGGAGGAGTCTCTCCTAACTCCTAAGTGCGAGTAGTGAGACAGTCTGCAGCTTCTGTGGTCAAGGGCACAGACGTCAGACCGTCAGAGTAATTCCAACCCAAATAAACAGGCTGTTCTTGTCCCTCTTCATTTTTAACACTTCAGAGGGCAGGCCTTTTAAAGGTGTCTTACAAATTGCTTTGCTGTAACGTTCTGCAGATTTTTAAATCTGTAAATGATGTGGTGGTGTCTGTATAAGGGATTTGAGTTAGAAAATTCTGCATTCATTTCCCAAACTGTACTGCTTATTATTTAAATCATTTCACAGGGACTGTTGGCCATCTTATTGTGCCTACTCTAGATATGCCTTTTTCGTAGCCATGCAAAGAGGAAACTCGTAATGGTTTAGTCATTGTTTCTGTGAAATGTTTCCTGTTCAAAATGAGAAAACGGAGGCCAGTGCTCAGTGTCTCGCACCTGTTTTGTCTTTGTGTGTCCTTGTTAAAATCAATAGTAAAAGACCCCAGTCAATGGCCAGTCTTTCTGGCTTTTTGCAGCAGCAGCAATGTATGACACAGTTATTAATCTGGTCCAGCCTTCTCATCACATGTACTGTATAGCTGGTAATGAAGAAAGCTAATTAATTTGGGGATTTATTTAGGTTCCTTTATTAAATACCGCGAAAAACGTGTTTTAGCTGCAGACGTTGGACTAAAAAAACATTTTTCTCACCTTTCCATTCTTCATGCCTTCATACAGTATATGGATTTTCTCTTTAACTTTTGACAAAGGTCCCCAGGTGTTTCAAGCATTTAGTTATGGGTGGTATTAAATATGTGTCTTAAAACAAGCGACTTAAAAGACAAATTGGTTGTTTATTGATTTTCAGGCTACTTTCTTTATTTTGAGCTTGAGACAAAATACATCAGCACACACTTCCACACTGCTGTGGAAGACATTCTGAGCAAGCTTTGAAATGCTGTAATCTGGATTGGGCTGAGAGTGATGTAAAACCAGATTCAGAACTGGCAAATATTTTGTGCTGACATGATCTTGATAATTGAAGAGATGCCATCACATTATTACACAACATTTGGGGTTTTGGTGTGTGGCTGTAATGTCTTGCATTGCCAGTTATAACAGAATTTCATTGACTTGCAGGCTGACAGAGGAGGGCTGTACCATCATGTGAGTTGGGAACCCGGTACATAGCATTTTCAGAAAGACGTAAGGTTTTTGAAGAGGGTTTGCACTATGGTGAGAGGTTTACAGTACCTGTTCTTGAATCGGACCCTGGAAATGTGGCTGTTTTGTGCTTCCAAGTTCAAACTGATAATGGCTGTTGCAGATTTCTAACCCTTGGAGTCTGAGGTTTGATTCTTTCGCCCTTTCGGGAGAGCTGTACGTGATAAACCCCTGCTTTTGCAAAAGTGGCCCCTTTTTGTCTGTTTTAAATTGGCGGAGAAAAACAACTGAAGGGTGCACAGTTTCATGTCTGTGTTTACCAAGATGAGTCTGTTGTAGAGAGATTAGCAGTATCATTGTTAAAGACTTTGCTCTAGTTCTAAATGTGCTTCACCCTTGAGCCTCAAGCAGATTCTCTAAATTGATCATTCAAGTCCAGACCGTATACTAGAACCCCTGCATTCCAAAGCTCAGGACAGGCTCTGTTTGCAGCCTGATAGCCTTATCTAATAGCTGAACTCTGGAATGGGCTTAACTCAAAGCAATGTCTGTAGCTGTCTAGCAGACGTCACTGACTTTGGGCATTTTGGGGAGTGCAGATGCTCACTGTATGTCTGCTGGTCTCAAACAAAACTGAACAACTCGGTCCAATCCAAGTTCTGGCCTGTGTGTGTAGACTGGCATGCTGCACTTGCATAATGGGGTGTGAACGATATTTAAAGTGTGCCACAAAGTTAGCAACATTTAAAGATGGTTTCCCATTTCCCAGTCATCATAGAATTAAGAGTGACTTGCACTTTCCAGATGATCGAAAACTGGCTCATAATGCTGCTCTTTCCTTAGGGTATGGTCTCTGTAAATTTCACAGATAGATAAAACTTTATTGATCCTGAAGGGAAATTGAGGCGTAGCCAAAGAACCAGGACATATTTAAGGCATAAATAAATAGATAAATTGCCAAAGAATGGGAGATATTTGCCTGCTAAATTTTTAAATCATGATCACAGAGATTCATTGGAAGAATAAGCTTACAGCCTGAATTACTTGTACCATGCTGCCGGAGGACACTGTTCAAGTGTGTGTTGTATAGGTACAATAAAAGACATTATTAAAATGTTAGTCCCATGGTGTTCAAATTTATTTATGTTGGCAATCAATACATTTTGTTGCCAAGTTATTGCTAGAGATATTCAGAAGAGATTGTCTCCTGGTCACAGCAATCTACTCATAAATAAAGCACAGTGAAGACAATTCTCTGATTGGATTTTATTGTGGAATTAACTTTAGAATTTTTCTAGATAAGACAGATGAAAGCTGAGTAAATAGTACAAAGGCTTTTTGTAGAGGTTCTCAAAGACCAAATATTTACTATTACTTTATGTATCATTCTGTTATTATAAAGATTAATGAAGACAAATCAGTGACCAGGAATGCCCTGATTGCTGGAATTTACTATCTATTCATTATTTTTGTACTTGTGAAGGATACATTTTTACTAAATAACATGTTTTGAAGCTGTAAACAATGTATTGATTTGGGATTTACATACTGCTTTAAAATCGTGGACCAGATCAGAACATTGGCCACGGTTTCTGTTAGTATCGTCCTTTCCACGGTTAGCCTTAAACCTAATGTGTAGTGGCAGAAATGGAAGTAATTTATACATGATTATATTTCATCACAATCACTTGACGTGCCATTTGAGAGCACTGCCCTTTAATCTTATAATCAATTTGAAAAGAGTGCATGAAAGTGCTTTACTTTGATCAATGTATTTAAAGTGTATTCTAACACACTCATCTAGGGTGAGGCTGTTGTGCTCTCAGTAGACATGGAACAGCAACACATGTCATCGACAGACATGATTTTCCTCATTTCCTGAGTTCTAGATTCAAGCAGTGAAGAAAGACTCATGGCTACATTAAGACCCTTTGCTAAATTCAGATTCGCTTTTGCACCTCGCAATGGCTGCTAAAAGGATTTCTCCTCCTGTGTGTCTTTTGGCTACATCTCTTCCCAAGACCTTTTTCCGTTTTGTGCAAAGGACACATCAGCCAAGCTGACTGCGTTTGCAGACAGGATTTCCAAATTATTTCCAGCATGCCCTGCTGCCCCAGCATTGAGCCTCTGTCAGTTTTACTCTGCTGTGCATGGCTTTCTGCTGTTGCAGATGTTGCATGCACACTGACACTTTTACCTCATTTTATCGTCTACTTCCTGGTCCCAGTCCTGAGGATTTGCAGGAGGACAAATGACAGTGTGAATAACGATGTGTGTGTAGCTGAATCTAGCTTGTTTCTGGCTTCTGGCTTGTTCCCCTGCGTGCACTTGCTAACCGGTTAAGGTTATTGAGAAGAATCTTTTTGGATCCACAAATGTTCGCTTGTTTGGGCATGGGTTTGAGCCTTGACAATATCCCATAATCCCCCATTTCCCCAAACCAAATGGCCAGCATGGTTGGTCACATGATGGCAGACCCTCATTCCTCAGTGAATGAATGAAAGTTTTGAATGAATATATACAGTATGTATATATAAGTTATATGTATATTAGAAGAATAGCAATCCTTCTTATTTTAACCACACTGTTTATCTCTGAAATGTTGATGCTAGTGTAGCGTAATCACAAACTTGTTATTACGCAATTACTGTTGTTTACAGAATTTTTGATAAAAGAGTTACTCATGGAAATTTGATTATGTAGAGGGAAAGTTGATGGAGAACAGCAAGGAAATAGCCAACGACATGCTTTTTTCACAAAGTGCTACAGTATAATGTGCTAGAAGAGTCCTTCCAAAGATTGCACCATTGTACGAGAAAGCAGTTCACAAACTTTGTGGAAAATTCACAGTGACAGGAGTCTTAATCTTCTAAAAATCTGGACATAGAGCATAAATGACTACGGTGTTTCAGAAAGAGATCTTGATTTTTTGCTAGCTAAATGTTTGGAAGAAGTGGATTGTTTTTCAAGTACAGTATGTGCTGTACTCAGTATGTTCTTTTTAATTGGGAATGCTAGTTAATGCCTGAAAGCCTGCGTGCCTTCTCCACAGGCTCTTTGTTAAGGAATCCAAGATAACTACAGTTTGTTAAATTGCACATTTTGAAAGGACAGTGCAAATATTAATTCAGTTTGGGAATAAGCATGGTTAGTGTGAAGTTTGATGTCATGAAAACTGGTGAAATGTGTCACATTTAATCACTTTTAAATATTGATTTTTCCAGGCTTTTGTTCTTATTTTTTACTTAAATACATTTTGGATTTTGGACTGAGTCCAGGTTAGAAAGGTAACAGAGATATTGATATTTCCAAGGGCTAAATTTACAATATTTTTTATATTTTCTTTTCTTATTATTGGTTCGTGTTTTAGTTGGGGGGAGGGGGGACTGTAAGCGTGCAGTTAGAGTTTTCTTCTCTCCCATGGGATGGCTAAACTGCATCCATGTTACTTCGCAGCAACAGGCAAACAAACAACAACAATGTGGAAGTTCACGCAGAACGAAACCAAAAGAAAATGAGGTCATCGTCTGTACTCATTTCATGTTGTTGAACAGCTGTATTTCACGAAGTGCGATGGGAGTGAAGCACGGAGCTGAGAAAGTCACGTGTGTCTCTGTTGAACCCCCTGCAGATAAATGGCCCGTTTAAATTGGGCGCTGTTCAACTTCTGTCTGGCTGGCCGATGCAGTGCCTAGCACCAGGTCTTCAGGACGCGGCAACCATGAACGGGGCCGGGGAGCAGGCCGACATCCTGCCCGCCAACTGTATGGTCAAGGAGCGATGGAAAGTGGTGAGTATGGGTTAAGGGCAGAAGAAAGGTTACAATCCAGAAGAGGCCATCTGGCCCATTTATACCATGTGCTATTTAGTAGCTCATTGATCCAGGAGTCTCATCCTGCCCTGTTTGGTATGAATCCAGGGCATCGGCTTCAGCAGCATGGCTGGATAACTCATGCTGTACTCCCACAGCCGTTTGGGTGATGAGGTGCCCCCTGGTCTCATTTTTCAGTTCACTTCCACAGGGCTCCCAGTTACGGTTACTGTATGTCCTCTGGCGCGTGTTTCACTGTTCATTTATCATGTTTGTTACGGCCCTATTTCATTTAACGCCATGACTGACCTGTTCGCCCCCTCTTTTACATTGTGAGGCTGCAACTGAAAGCACATTTTTCAAAATCCAGGCGAGAATGTGTTTGATTCTGGCGAATAACCGCTTAAATACTGCTGACTCCTGATGGAGAGCAGAGAGACGACAGGATGTTGGTCTTTAGACAAATGCAGAGTGGGATTATGGCTCAGTGACATTGAACCTTGAAGTGGCTTTTAATGTACTCTGCCACAGTGGTTAATTCAGAACTCCCATGTTTCATAACACCATTGATCCAATAAAAGACACGAATATGAGACAGGTTTACAAGGCATTTGGGATTAATCTGAGATTATCTGGTGTCTATTCGGATGTCTATTTCTGGCCCTCCAATCCATCCAAGAAATGTATTACTTTCTGATTAAACTTGATTTTATGGTTGGCATCCTTCAGTTTTTCCAATATTGCAGATGGAACAAATTGAAACACATTTAAAACACTGTTTTGAGTACTTGCCTCCAAAAAATAACAGCCATCTGTTGGGGGAATATGAAGAAGGTTATTTCTTAAACCAGAGGTGAGGGATTTCTCATGACTTAAAAAAACATTGTGACTTTGTCCAGTGGAGCTGATCTCAATGATATACTTATTTTATTTGGAATAAAACACAATTGTGAAAAGAAATAGGATACGTTTTAATAATGACAGACGGGTCATCTGCTTCTGTGTGTTAGATGAAGATATACCCTGCAGTATGTTAGACTAGTGGTGAAAGCTGGGATGATTTAAACATGAGGAATAGAAGCTATCACAGATGTTACAGTATCTTATCTGTTATAATCAGATTGTTGACGTATTCTTTTCTTAGACAGCAAGGGAAGCACAATACCTTGGGTGTAGGATGGATCTACTGTAGTTGGTATTTACAGAGCAAAATAATTGATTGGCCAGACAAAATGCCTCATGAGAATACATCTGTATCTGAATCCTGAAACTTCAGGGGTGTATTGATAGTCAATAAATCAGATTTGGGGGTGGAATAAAAAAATATGGGGAAGGGGTGCAAACCTTGCAGATTCTTTTAAGTTTTTAAATGACAGAGAGGAAGAGAGCTGTAGAGTAAACTAAGATATTGATTTCCATCCAGCTGAGGTGGGTATTTGCTTCTTAAGACTGTGGAGATTCAGTCCTATTAATAGCTGATCACGTTCTGCTCAGCTGAAGAAGATTGGGGGAGGAGGTTTCGGGGAGATCTACGAAGCTGTTGATACGGTGACGAAAGAGAACGTGGCACTAAAGGTGGAGTCAGCCCAGCAGCCCAAACAGGTTCTCAAGATGGAAGTAGCAGTCCTGAAGAAACTGCAAGGTGGGTCAAGCTTGTGTGTTCTCCATTCATGCTGCATTAATTTATAGATGAACTGACTGTTAAAGCATGCAGAATAAAGCAAATATTTTCATTGCATCTTCAAGGATTAGATAGATAATACAGAAGAGAGTGATGGTTTTTCATTGGATTCAGATATTCTCCCCAGGAAAGGAAAGAGAACATTATTTTTCAAACTATATCGACTCATGTATCACTTGTTGTCACATAATATATACATTAAATACAACGAGATAATATACCTTGTTGTGTTGACTCATTGCACAATGTAATATGCATCAATTTTACATTTATTTTAATATTTTTGTGATATACTTATGTCAACATTCATTTTTGGTTTTCTGCAACAGAAAATAATTCCAAAATTATCAGTTCATTTTAAATTAAGATTTTTATATTAATTGCTAATTTGGAATGGTATGTGATATTAACAGTAGTCTATGTAGTGAATATATAGGACAGGAGAATGAGCGGTGTGGATCATATTTATACTCTTATTTAGACCTATGTTACTGAGAAGCTGTTTCTCAGGAGCCTGTGTTGCAAATGGGTGTAGCCGAAAAGAGATCAGACCACATTATTCTCCTATAAGACAGCCTAAGCGCTGTCAGAGAGATGCTTCTGGTCTCTGAATGGGTCCTCTGGGGATTCCTGTTATGGAAGATGTGAGCTCATTTGCCCGGATGTGTGTCTGTCTAATCTCCCCAGTCTATTGATACTTGAGATGAGGTGGACTCAGGATGAAACAGAGTGTTTGCAGATCTGCTGGTCAGCTTGACCCAGATAAATGGAGGTGAAAATAAAGAACTCAGAAGCTACTGTGGCAAAATTGCAGGGCAGCAAAACAGCGTAGAGGTCTGATTGCAATGACAGATCTTCTTCCAGACTGTACTGCAGCTTCTGATTGTCACTTTAGCCTACAGGGTAGCATGTTTTCTCCAGAGGCATTAACCTTGTGTGCATTGTGATTGAGCAAATGTGAAACATGGGTGTTCCAAACCTGTTGGTTACAATAAACACAATGCTTTAAATAATCATTTTGAGTAATTTTGTTGTATACATAAAGTTAGCTTCCCATTATAATCACTTGTTAAACACTGAATCTTAATATGTATCATCACTCATCTATTTCATCAATGTATTTGATGCAGGAGACGGCTGGTATGAATCACATTTATACTCTTTGATTTAAACCTACATTTCTGAGAAGTAAATTTCTCAAGAGCCTGCTTTTAGGTTGGTTTTCAAAATAATTTTTAAGACGTCTGTAAACCGTTTCCATTTTCAGTGTGTTCTTTATTTATTAACATTTCTGCAGTATCCATGTGTAGCTCAGTGGACAGCCATGGGGAACAGAGTGCTGAGCATTACCTTGTGCATGTTCCTGAAATCAGGAGCATATGCCCTTAATGTATATACTCCAGAGTCACTGCATTCATGAGCATCTTTACGCAATCAACTGCTAAAGAGCAGACAGAAAAAGCTACAGTTCTATTAAATAGAAAAATAGCCCAATTAAAAAAATTAAGGCTCAGATGAGCTAGACTGTACGATCTACTGGGGGATCTCTGATGTCGTTTACTCTGGCCATAAACTGTTGAAGATAAATTCTTGCACTTCAGCTGAGCTCCCTAAAATTAGTGTGCCCTGCATTGAACAAGCAATAGCAGATCGCATTAAAATATGCAGTGATTATGACCTCCCCAGCAGTTTATTGTAGATATAGGGCTCAAAGTTATAGCTTTGCCTGTCAGATACATTTGTTCCGGTTCATAGCCTGGAGATACTTTCGTGTTACTGCCGGGCATGAACACATCCTAGCTGAAGTGTTTAATCAGCCTGAAAGTTTGCGTGCCTAGCTTCTGAGACATAGAAAAACCCTCCTGTCCTAGGTTTCTCTTTTTATTTTTTATGTAACCTATCCAGTGCCGAACACTGAAGTGGTTAGTTTGCATTTGGGTGCAATGCTAAAATCAACTGTGCAGTGTTACCGAAATTTAAAGGTGCCAATGATGCCAATATTGAATGAATAAGATGCAGTTTCACCTTGTTTTCTGTCAGGTTATCAAATGCCCATTTTACTAATTTGCTAAATATACCAGAAATTAAATAATTTGTATAAACTCGGAAGAGTACTGGCCTTAATACAGATGCCTGTGGTACTCCAATATTTGCCTTCTCTGTACTGTTTTCTTTCCACTAACCTGTTGTCAATCCACATACACACACATTACCTTGCATTAGTTCAGGTGGGTAGCTGCGTCAGCATGCATAGGCTGCAAAGGAACCAAGTAATAGGTTTTTTAAATGCTGAAAAGAGAAGAAAGAAAACGCAACGTTTCGGCCGTGGTGCCTTCTTCGGGTGTGAAGCCGAAACGTTGTGTTTTCTTTCTTCTCTTTTCAGCATGGAATAAACCTATTACATGTTCCATTACCTTGAATGCCTATTGCCTGAAGTTTTAGAATTAATCTTTTATAAGGAGTTTTATCAAATTTTATACTCTGTATCCATTACTGCTTTGTTTATTCAAAGAATTCTAACATGTTAGTTAAGCAAGACCTTCCTTTCCTAAACTGCAAAGCATGTGATATTTGCAGTGTTTTTAAGTTTTGCATTTGTGAAAGGCTGGTGGTATACACCTCCTGAAGCTGTGTTCAGTATAAAGTGTGGCAGCTGGCCACTTTTGTTTTTCGGCTGTACAGAATTTCAGATCTCTGCAGGCACCAATGCTGATGTCATTTTTTTTCATGCCAACCTGTTGAAAATGACTTACACACAGATTACAGCTGCTCCTTATCACCTTGAATACTGTTACCTATGCACTGTGCAGGCCATTGGGTAAATAAGTCATGATCGCAAACCGGCCCATGGCAGACAGGAGCCTTGCACATCTGGCCACTTTGTATCTGACTTTTGGTCTTTTTCATACAAATAGATAAGAATTAGAATTTGGGATCTGCCTTTCTAAATTCCGGCAGCACAGAAAAACAAAACCGCTTTTGTGAAATGGTCGTGCTGAATTTGTCGAAGTGGGGAGGAAGAAATTTCAAGCTCAAGCTCTTCAGTAATAAACACCTTTAAGACTGGAGCCACAGTGAGATCCCTTAGTGTGTGGTATGTGTGCTTGTTCAGCCTATTAGCCCTCGAATGTTTTCTGGGCCCTGTGACAGATAGCTTTATGCTGTTCCCCAAACCTACCAGCTGAGGGTGTACTTGTGTTTTTGTAAAGGCATCTCTTTTTAAAATTTGCACTTTAGTACAGCCAATTAAATAAAAGAAGTACCCGTTTCATCAAACTGTAGGCTGGACTGTACCTAATGTGATTAAAGTCAAATAGCTGGTTCATCCAGTCTTTATTACACAAAGTTTATTTTGTCATTTTTGGTGGTTTTATAGTGACGAGCAAACATTTATCAGCCCCACACTAGAGCATAATCTTCTGATCTGCCAGACAGCTGTCCTTAATATATCCCAGAGAGTAAACGGAGACAGAAGAACATATTTTATTAAGGCCTCTGTATTTCTCAGCTAAAATAAATCAAACACAAGTACTTCATACTGACTGCACTGATGTTGTTTAAGTGGTGTGGTGAGAACTGAACAAGCAGGCTGCCGGTAATCCTGTACAGTTTTTGTGATGTTTGGTTTCTTTCATTGCATCTTTGAAGGTGTTGCTTTTACTCTCTTGATTGCATTTGATTTGAAACTCACATGTGAGATCCTGAATTTCATTACAGTACGCAGTCACAGATGTATTGAAATCTCACTAATTACAATGAGATGTTTTAAGCTTAACATTTACAATCTTGTGATTTATTATAGTTTATGATGGTAGCCTATACATTCCTTTGATGTTTCATCCATGGGGATTTCTTGTTCTCTCATCTCATTTATTTTTGTCTCTGTTTGGATCCTCTGAATACCAGGGGTTCCATACCCATGTTAATTAATGCTTCATATATAAAGTTCTCTTAAACTGTTATATAAACTACACTAGTTATATAAGACATATGTAGTTATATAGTTATATATATAAGACATCATGTTATATGTCTGGCTTAATTCCATGTAGTAAAAACACAATTAAATCTTCATATTGTTTATTCTTTTTGTGTTATGTGTTCAGGAAAAGACCATGTTTGTAAGTTTGTTGGATGTGGAAGAAATGAAAAGTTCAACTATGTGGTCATGCAACTTCAGGTGAGTGGTCTTCCCTGAACAATGTTCACACTAAAGAGTGTTAGTATCAGTTACTAGAGCACTAGAGGATCCATAAGTATTAGAATATCCTTTTTTGCAATCTCTGCATACAGCATACAGTTTTAACTGTAGGACTGTCACAAGACTCAGATGCCCAGAATACAGATTGTTCGACTGTGTTTGAGCACTGTCGCTGATGTTCGGGGAAAAATAGAGTTTTGTACAGGTTATGGTTGACATCAGGCTGATGCCGGCTGAATCTCCACAAAGATTAATTGTACAGCACTGTAGCCAAGCCTTCTGCATTGAGGAAGGGCATATTAAGGGAGCTGCTTGAAACAGGAACTAATTTCAGTATCTCTGCAGAAAGTAGTGCTGATGGGAGAGCTGTAATTTAGACAGATTTGGCATGTTCTGACCAAGGATTTCTCAGCAAAGTGAACAGCAGGCTGATTAATCATCACCTGCCCTGCTCCGATTGGAACAACTGCCTTTCTCCAAACCAATTTACTGAACATAAGAAGCGGGCAACTCCATTAAATCTCGCTGATAGCCAGCAAACGGGCTTTTTAATTATACATGACCGTGCATCAATATGCCAACCAAAGTGTTCTCTTGCTACCTGCTTAACTGGCCATGTAACACGAGCTGACGTGGGAAGGCAAACAGCTCACAGCTGTGGATAAATCCAGAACAAAATTGAATCGGCCGGGAGCCGTATCCTGTAGGAGTGCTCTTCAAAAGCAACTTCCTAGCCATTTAGTGCTGACATTTTCCAGACAAAGGTATGGAGTAGAAGTGGCAATGAACTATCGGAAAAACTGCTAGTAAAACAATCCAAGGAGTCAGATTTGTACTCTAAACTGTAGAAACATTTGTACAGACAAACTCATTTCACCAGTAACAGTTGTGCTGTACAGAATATTTAGTTTTGTGAAAGAAAGTTTCAGTTGAACAAAAATGATTTTGCCACATATTTTGGTTTGTTTCTATTACAATTCAATAAGTCTACTCTGTAAAATACTCGGAAGATTTGCTTTTAGTCTAGTTACTTTCAATAGTCTAGAAATGCAGTAGAACCAATATCTCCTTCAATTATTAATGTGTTGGTGAAAGTTTTTGAAGAATGCAGGTCATCAGTGTTCAAATTTGGTTGTACTTGGCATTATTAGCTACTCTTTACACACTGTATCTTCTACTATACCATATATAAATTTAGTAAATTGCTGACTTGTTGCTAATTTTTAATAGACATCTACAATGATATACGCTAGACACCTAGGCACCTGCAATGAATGACTAATGCTAATCACTCTCTTATTTTAATTAATAATAGTATCTGAGACTAAGAGTAAGATTGAATTTAGAGGAAGAACCTGTCAGAGAGTTATGCAATGTTTCTCTTCAAAATTCAATTGCCTGCCACCAAATGCAGAGAACTCTATTTGTAGCAGGATTCTGTGCCAAGATATGTGTAGCGCCAAAGCTAAATGAGAGTGGAAATGTAAAAATGAATCTTGCCTTTTAAAGAAAAAGTAAGGAAAGGCATGTGTTGTTACCTCATCTTTCATATACTGTATGTACTGTATCATGCTTGAATGTTTTACATAGTTTTAATTTGTAGCACAGTTATACATTTCCAGAGGACCCCTATGTTTCACATCAATTACTGTCACAACATTGAGGATAATTTGGCTCAGCATTTAAAGAGAATGGTGGAATTTCTCAACACACCTTGCATATTATACAAAAGCGCATTTAACTTCTACAAGAATGTGAAACACTTCATTTTAAAATGGCAAGGTATTTTGTCTTCAGAATTGTTTTGCGATTTGGGGGGGGGGGGTTGTTTTGTAAAATTTGATTGATTTCCAAAAGTCCTAAAAGGCAAGTGTGATTGCCTTGACATGTTTAAATAACTATAAATATAAATAAATTAATTAATTAATTCCCAAATTAAACGCATAATCCCAAATAATCATGACCGCATTGCACCTGACGTTGTTCCGAGTTAGTGCTTGGAATAACACGATCGCTGTCCTGAGTTGTGTGTGAAGAGGGGGATTCGGTAGGGTAGGGATACCCGGACATCTGTGGGGAAAATTGCCACACTCCACAGCAGCCGAGGAGTCGACCACAGTTTTGCCAATGTTTAATCGAATCGTGTTTTTTTTTTTGGGTTTCCCAGGGAAGAAACCTTGCCGACCTCAGAAGAAGTCAGCCACGCGGGACCTTCACAATGAGCACAACCCTGCGCTTAGGAAAGCAGATCTTAGAATCAATAGAAGCCATTCACTCTGTCGGGTTCCTGCACAGGGATATCAAGCCTGTATGTACCTTCCTTAATCTAAGCATTTCTTTTATTTTTTTAACCCACCTCCACCCCCCCAACTTTGGAGGACTTCTTTATTTTTTTTATTTTTTTGCACTCTCATTTTTGTTCTTATTAGACAATAACAAAAAAAAAAAACTTACATTCACAAAAGAAAATTAACTCAAAAACTTCCTACTAATATTCTTAACATCCAGTGCCATTCAAGTATGTCTCTAATGGACCCCAAACATCCCTATACTTATTAAGTTTCCCCTGTAAATGATCTGAAACCTTTTCAGATTTAACTCGTGATACAGCCTCTTTAATCCATTCTTTGTACAACGGTCCTGTACTGTCCATCCGTTTTCGCAATATTATTTTTTTAAGCGATAATACAGAGAGTCAAAAAAGTATTTTTAGATTGAATTGCTACTTTAACCTTTGATAAATCACCAAGGTTACATGGAATGGGAGTAAGTGGAATTGAGATATGTAGGTGCCTGAGAGCTTTCCCCACTGTGGAGGTCCAGAATGACTGTATGTGCTGACAATACCATAAGTGCAATAATGATCCTTTTTGTGCGTTACATTTGGAACACATTCCCGTATTATGCCACTTCATCTTTTTCAATTTTTCTACGGTATAATAGAGTCTGTATAAAATGTTGTACTGAATCTTAGCATTTCTGATAGGAGCTCAGCCTTAGATTCAGGCTAGGATTAATCCTGACCCACATTATCAACAGGGAGGTTTAGGTTTAAATCAGTTTCCTGCAATGCAGAAAGTCCAGGCAAGACACTTGGTGTCTGTTTAGAAACAGGCATTCTTCTGATCTTGGCTCTTATGTTTAGAAAAAAGGGAATTCTACTGCAGTACCTACCTTAAAGCAATGTTTTTCAATAATTTTCGAGAGGAATGTTAATGTTACCGAAAGATCTAATTATATTATATCTATTGTATAATTTAGGTTTATGAGATGCCTAAAATGTCAAAATGCATTATATCATTATACAGATGCAGCACTACCAGTGTATTAGATTTTTTAGTTTAGCCATCATGGTTGTACCCTAGCATTAAACGAGCTGTAGTGTTTTTTAAATTGCTTATTTCTTGTCTGTGTTCCCTGCTGCTGTGGGACAGATATCCTGGGGTCCGTTTACTCACTATCTCCTAGGGTCCACGCTGCTTTGATTCTTCATGCTGTCACATACTGTACACACATCGCTAGAACCTCTGGATCAGTCAGGCAATCAGGAGGAAAGGCTGTATAGTGCTTTTCAAGATACTAATTTTGACCAGAAGTCCCAAGACAGCAAAGGTGTTTACATTTCTATGATTGACCAGGACATTACTGTGTACCAGTGAAAGACACACTGTCTGCTTTTGTTAATTGAAAAACATTACATAAAAACATTTTCCAAAGAATGCATGCAGAATATCTTTTTCTCCTGCTGTCTTTATCTCAATATATGTTGCTCCTGCATGAGAAATTGAGAAATTGTTATTTTCTTTACCATTATAAATGCCTTTCTTTGGATATGTGGATTTATGAGGAATGTATTATTGGAATGATTAAGATTCTCTCAAATCAATTCCTTAATTAATATGAGATTTGTTGAGTGTTTGATTGATGAGAGCTCTTGCTGTGCTGAATGGATTGTCTTCTCTTTTCCAGTCTAACTTTGCAATGGGACGGCTCCCCTCAACATACAGAAAATGCTACATGTTAGACTTTGGTCTTGCACGACAATACACCAACACTAATGGAGAAGTCAGACCTGTAAGTAACTGCTGTTTCAGTCGTGGCTCTTGCTAGCTGTATAACGTGCTATTTTCATTTTTACTATTGAGTTGGCTCACGTCACATTGCCTTAGCTTTCTCATGGATTTAGTACCAGATAATATAAAAAATGATTCAAGCACAGTTACAGGAATTCAGAGCTTTGAAATCACACCACTTCACCATAGAACTTTTGGTTTAGGAGTAATTTCAAAAAGTGTGTGCAAAAACTTGTGCCATAAAAAAAAAAAAACTGTTAAGAAGCTATTGTAGTTTAGGAACTGAAATTGAATGTTGAAAGTTTTTAGCTGTGAATATTAAAGAAATGGATTAATCTGGTTTGAGAAAATGTGTATTTGTCAAAAAATATGTTGTGTTGTGTCTGAAAGACAATTTGTCTGTAATTTATAGAAGTGTTAGACAAACTGCTTTCTTCTGATCTGAGTTAGGTATGTAATCTGATTGCTAGGATTTAAAAAGACTTCTCATTTTCCTGACTACCCAGTTTTCAAGAGGAAAACCTAAGCCATATTACACTCATGATGAGTTACTAATAACAAACATAAATCCTTTATGTATATCACATGAAAACATTTTTGACTTCACTAGCTTTAACGAGCAATTATTTGCAGAATAACTGGAGGCAGAAAATGCATTGCAGCTCTATTTGTTTCCCAATGTTCTGATGTTTTAGAAAAACATTATAAATGTATAGAAACTGGAAAGTGTGTTGTACTGAGAGTTAGTATAACTAACTCAGCTGTACAGCATTCTCGGCAACATATGGCAAATTCGAATGTTTCTTGTAAGGAGGATATTACGCAGTTCTCTTTACAGTCTGTATGTTCAATTCTTCCATCTGGAAGTTAGTCCAGATCCAGATCAGTTAGTAACAAATTGCAGCTATTATTTATTAGTTTCATAGAGAAAGATAGTGCTATAGTCTTATTACGCAACAGCAATAGGTCTCGTGTGTGGTTTAGTTTCATAGGGCGTCTAGTTTTATAATGACTGGTTGTTTAATGGCAGTGTCTGTCTTGAAAAACAGTTGTGTGTGTTGTTGCCTGTGACTAACTACCCGGTATAAGTAAGTCCGCTAAATAAAAAAAAAACACCGTACCATCAGAGAAGGACCAAAGGAAGTGCAGGTTTATTAAAAGAAACCAAACCAAAAAGTGCAAAAAGAAAAACACCGTGATGGGAAAAAACCCAACCAAAAACATTATACCGCCAAGTCCTGGTTATATACTATAAGCCCCACCCCCGGTCCTCTTGATAGATAGGTGAACCTCCATTTAAAGGGATGGGTCTACAAGCTCTGTAACCTGACACAAGATGGAGGAACAGATCGGTGCAAGACATTGTGAATCCACAACAGGTAAAAGACAAAAATATATATATCATACAGAAATAACATAGCAATTGATACTTATAAAACTATATACTGTGCAAACGTCCTGTGACAGGCCACAAAGGGCTTGTGACAATGGTCTAACACAGCCCCTCATCACATTGTCCTTGGTGATAAGACAGTACTGTGGGTGAGCTAGGAAAGCAGGCACTAGCCCACTAATCCATTTTTTCTGCAACATTTTGTGTGTGTCAGTCTCACTCCATTTTACCAGAACCTAAGAATGATCACACAGGGCACCAGTGTCATTGTTTTTGATAGAAAGAAAGGACCTACTCAGGGAACAAAGTAAAGTCTGAGTTAGTGACATTCATTTCCGCTGACCTTTTAAAGCATCAGAACCATATTCTGTTTTCATCCACCCTAGTGGTTTTGCTAAACCGAGCTGAAAAAAGATACGAATCCCTTGACCAATTGATTTGTTAGCTTTGAGTGCTCAGTCATGCAGGAAAAACTGTTTTAACAAGCTACCGTATCATACATTGAGACAGAAGTGTAATTATTCTTGCAAGTGGTGAACGGAAATCATGTTTGCTAAACAAGTATTTAATTATGCCATCAGTTTAATTATCAGAAAGGACTACTTGTTTCTTCAAGACTGTAAATGAATTTGCACTATACATAAATTACTCCACGTTCTGAATTGGAATTTGGTCAAAATTGAAAGGTTTTCAAAAAGGTTGTTGATCAAAACACCCAAAGAAGACACAGTGTTTCTTGATGAAAAATGATTAGATGATTCTGACTTGAATCATAAAGATAATGAGCACTTTGGATGAGAACTGCTTGAGATAATCAGTCAGATAGTGAATTTCCAGTGCAGATCCATTAACGATACATTGATTGTGATTTGTTTTTCCTCGTTTTTATATCTCAGATGCAGTAAAAAAAATTGATAATTGTTTTCTATAGTAATTCCCAATGAACACTTGCAGATGCTGTATTTTGAAATTTATTTTATTAGGAAAGTAGAGTAGTAGAGTCCTTATTTCCCTCACGGTCAACCGATACACTGCAAATTCAATGAAATGTCAACAACTTTGGATCAAAGCATCAGGCAAATTATTTAATAGTGTAATACTAATGAATGTCCTCATGCAATCATAATTGTCTTAATTTAAGCATCTGATCAAGGGGACTGTATGTTTGGAGATATAATCATAATCATTCTTACTTCTGTTGTGCAGTTACATTTTCTTTGCAAACAAATGTGCTGGTTTAATGTTGGATTAAGTTCCGATTTTTTTTTTATGGTGATGTTAAGAAATAGAAATAAATGACATTTGTATGTATGCAAAAACAGTTTTTTAAAACTGTTTTTCTCTAATCCTATTTGAGATGAAATATGGATTTTTTGGGCTTGTTTCCAGTTGGCTCTTGCTTTGATATCAGTAGGGATAATGGATTTTTGTGGTGTATATCATAGCATTATGTGTTATCTTAAACAATACTGTGTTTACAGTTTCAAAATTTGGTCTATACTGGGATTGGCTGAGTCTATTGTTTTACAATCTGTCTGTTCCCCTAATGGAACAAATTCACATTCTCTTGATGGTACTGGTGGCAGAAGGCAGTTCAATCAGGACATTATGATAGCATATGTAAGCATGTGCATTCAAGAATTCTCCTTAATTTTCGCCAAGCTATTCACAAGGTGGTTTTGGAATTTCAACTGTAAAGCATTTCACATGTAACTCAATGAAGGGAACAGTCAAAGATTTGAAAATGCATCTTATTATGTAAATGTGATTGGTCGCAAAATAAAAATGGAAATGTCCTTCTCACTTTGCCATTCTAGTTTGGTGTTCAGTTTGTAACAGCTCTCTTACATTAAGAAGGTATCCTAGTGATAATTCTTCATACTTGGTGTGGTTGCAATTGAGAAGCACTCAGAGTGTTGTAAGCAAGACAAAATAAATGTGGCATCTGTCAGAATAAAAATGTGTTGTGCCATGTTATGACAGATAATGGAAGCAAGTAGCATTATCTCTTGTGTGTTGTACTTTGTCGGAGAGCGGGTTGAGATCTGAGATCTGGATGTTGCCTGGGTCTTGTTACTAAGCAACTGAGCCTGGGATTCAGCTCAGCAGCAGGGGAGGCAGGGCTGATATTGGTCAGGCAGGGTCCTCTCAGAGCCTGGGTACCTGTAGGCTCTCAGCGATGTCAGAGAGGGACGCGCCTCTTTCCTCCATTCTGAACTGAACCTCCTGTATGTTGCTGCCGAGCCTGTAGTGTGTCAAACGTTGATGGACGGTCAGATTGGAGCAGCCTGTCGGCACCTCCTCCTGTGACCGAAATACACAACTGATTCCAAACTGTGTGGTGTGTATCTGAATGTTGAAAAAAAATGGTTGTATTTCCAACTACAGTAATTTCCCAAGTAGGTGTGAGTGTGGGCGGAATGGTGGCTCTGTGGCTCAGGATCTGCGCCCGTGGCTGGAAGGTTGCCGGTTCGTATCTCGCAGCTGGCAGAGAAATCCTACTCCGTTGGGCCCGTGAGCAAGGCCCTTCACCCCAGCTGCTCCAGGAACACTGTACAATGGCTGACCCTGCGCTCTGACCCCCAGCTTCTCTCCCTGTCTGTGTGTCTCATGGAGAGCAAGCTGGGGTATGCGAAAAGACAAATTCCTAATACAAGAAATTGTATATAGCCAATAAAGTGAACTTATCTTCTAGTGTATCATCCTGAATTATTAAACTCCACTTATTCACTTATTAGGCTTTTCATTCTTTAAAAAAGGTCCAGACCAGGGTCACTGGCTCATTAGTCCAGAGCTCATCCTGGTTTCTGTAGCGTGGACTCAGGAGCATGTGACTCCCTACCTGGGTGGGATTATCCCCCAATAGTTCTGGTCCCCTCTTATAAAGATGGGTGGACTAACTGGAGTACTGTACAGTACAACACTCAAGGTCCAACAGCAGTTTTTGCACCAGGGTCTGTCAGTTCCAAAGGCTTATCCACTACACTACACTACCACATTTTTGTAGTGTTAAACACATACAATATTACCTGAAGCTAGTATAATAGGAAATGAATATTTATAGTTCCTTTGCCATGCATTTGTTATGTTGCTTATTTTACAATACTTATGAATACTTGCTGTCTAAGTCTTGGTGATATCAGTGTCTTCATCCCAATCATTTTACATTTTCTTCTGAGAGCTGCGTTGTGAGATGAATGTTTGATTCAGTGGGTGATGTACAGGGTTTTTGTGTGTGTGTGTGTTTCTTGTAGCTGACTCAGCTGCTCTTCATTGATTAGGAATGCAAGCCTCTAGTGATTCGTCCTGCACTGCAGCAGTGTTCTCAAGCCATGATAAACTGAGGAAGTGGCAAATCATTCAGTGGAAAATGACCTTCGTCAAATAGTATAAATGACACTGAAGGCAAAGAGGGGAGAGATTTTAAACTACAGGCTCTACTTTCTCATCTTGTGCAGGCAACCCACTGCAAATTAATAAAACATGTTTGGAATATTAAATTTTTAAAATATTTTTATATTAGAGACATTTTTACTGGTGAAGCCTATATACTGTATGGTCAATTGATGGGCATTGGCAAATGCACTAATTATCGGGGTTGAGAGCTAACCGTGTTCAGTTCATCCAACCAAAATTTAATTCATTTCACCCATCTGCGAGCTGCCATTCTGTGCTTGATGATAACTTGTTTGCCAGAGGCTTCCTGCTTCTGACCTGTGGTATCTCACCAGCAAGTACCAGTTTCTAAATTGCCACCGGTGGGCGGGTTGAGGTTGGTCTTTAACCTGGGTCTGACATGATTTTCGATGTCCAGCAAAGTGTTTCCACTGTCCATCGCCCAGTCTGCAATGGAGCGTCAATCTGATGCTTGCATAACCCGTATTAGGTTCCTCAATTTTTGTGCAGCATAAAGCTCTGCATTATTTCACTGCATTTTCTGTGTGGAACATTTGGCACCAGTGGTGATTAGCAATAGAATGTAGCATTAGTTACTATAGCAACACTTGTGCAGTATATCTCTGCAGAAAATAAAATGGGGCGGAACTATGATGCTTTTGGATTCCATTAGACTGCACGGAAAATACCCGTTTTTCATCATTTTATTTGAATACTTCTTGGTCTGAATTCACTTAAGATACAGGGCTTAATATTCTGTACACTGACACTTTTTGAGTGTAAAACAAGCTGTAGAGGTATTTTAATTAGCATCAGGCAGGGCTGACCTTTGTCTAGGAGTTGTGATTATTTGCCTGAAGAGTACCAGCTGTTTAAATGTTGCTGGAATTCAGCTTTGTTTCGACACGATCACACAGTTTACTTAAATAGAGAGATTAATAGATCGGACAGAATGTATGTAGTGTGACAACACTGTAACACAACAAAACGCTGTAAATATTGCATTGTAAAACTCGTTACCATATTCCTAATTAGATAGAACACCTAATTTTTTGAAGTCATACTAAATGGTAATTCTTCTCATTCAGTCATTAAGTTACCTTAAGATTAGAGAAGAACATATTATTGTCACTGCATTGCAGTTAAATGTTTTGTCCTAAATGGTACTGGATAGAAAATACGTGGTCCTGTTTGAATGTTTTTAGTGTTTTAGTTTTAGATGCCTAATGACATAAATACCTGTATCTCTTTTAGAAGGACGCTCTTGTAAAGTTTTTTTCTCTTTACCAGCACTGAAATCATTGTGTTTGGACAAAAAGGGCTTGTTTATCTCTGATGATTTTACTGTATTCAAACATGAATTTGGAAGACCTATCATTTATTCATAGCAAAAAAAATAATTCAAAGTGTGGAAATAGGGTTGCACGTGCCTTCAGAGTTTAAAAGAGTTCGAATGCCAAAGGAACTGGGAAAAGCTTTTGTATTCAGAATAACTTTCATTTTTCTGTTTGAAATTAATTTTGAATTTGAAGGACAGACCCCAAATTATATTATAAACAAAAATAATAAAAAGTTGAAAATACAGTAGAATAAAAGGCACAGCATACAGTACCACATAAAAAGCTCCTTTTCTGAAGAGTGACCATTTTTCTTCTTTGAAGAGTACATTTCAAGACCAAGTTTGGTTTCCAATTTCTTGTTTGTTCCCAAAGACGGGAAACTTCAGTATCTCACTGTGAAATAGTATTTAAATGTTTATTAGTGTTTCTTTCTTGGAGACTTGTTCTTGTTGTTTAGTATGGCGATGCAGCTGGAACATATACAGGTTCATATTATAAAGGTTTTATAGCCTTATACTTTTGCACAGTTTCATGTGAATAAAAACAGTTTTATAACTAAATTAATCACATCCTTCTGGGATTCACTGATGTACTGTAATTGTTCTGAGTCCATCTCTGGTGTTGTCTCTGGTTAGACATTTGCTGCAGGATGTAAATATTCCAGAAAAAGTAGCTTCTGAAAAAATTCTTTCCAACACGAAACGAGAATAGGGTGCACACCTATGAGCTAAATTACTTTTGCCTTTTCCAGATCCGGAATGTTTGTTCAAAAGCTATTCTTTCTCGAACAGCAGGGCTAATAGGTTAGCAGAGACAGAGCAACAAGCTGAAAGTGAAAGAAGGGAAAAGAAAGATTACTTCATATGTTTTAAGTAACAGCAATGCATTATTTTATGGTTCATCAGCCTTATCTTCTATATTTATATATCTATATTCATCAAAATATCTTCACCTCCTGATTTGGTTTTCTCTATTGTTTTGCGGTTATTCTGTTTTCTCACACAGTGGTGATTTTGTTTCTCCTTTTGTTCTTGTGTTTTACAGTTCCTTTTGGCCTTTTATTTTGAAGCGCATGCTTGACCTGTTGCTCCCATCACAGTCACTGTTTCACAGAGTAACATTGTGAGTGTGATGTCACTGAGCTTTCCTTTTCGTACTGCTGGGCAGGGCTCTCATCAGGGATTTCATCCAGTGGGGGGCAGGGGGGAGCACAGTCTGCAGACTTAAAAGCATCCTTAAGAGCAATCTGCTGCACGCTGATACCTCAATAACTGGTTTGTGCAGACAGCTGGTACAGTGAGCAGCAGTTTCAGCTGCTACAGTGTTATGGATGAAACAAGTACAATCCTCAATGCTTTCTACTGGTATGAAAACAGCTGGAGCAACACCTGACACACCAAACACCTGAGCAATCAGCTGTGGCTTATACTGTAATGTCACTGAATCTAGACTCCAAAGTTTTACGTGGATAGGTCGAGAAATGTTTGCCCATGTTTCCTTGCAAGGGTGAGTTTTGTCAGATGAATAGGGTGCAGGCAGCAGGGTGTTACAGCCCCCCCCCCAGAGTCCTGTCTGCGTCTGTCTGGGCAATGTGCGCAGGAGCTCCAGTTCACCGCACTGCCACCCCTGCGTGTGCAGAGCTGCTGTGGCTCAAAAAGCATCCAGCAGTTTCTTCTTGAAAACAGTTCTAGTTCTGGGCACGAGTCACCAATTCTGATCGCCAGAGCGTGCTTGGATTTCGGCTTTTGTTATTTCCACGATTCAGAATATTTTTGGGAGTGTAGGGTTGGTCTGTTCACACTACGTTGCCACCAAATATTTGAAGTCAAGTGTCAATCTTCAAATTTGAAAATTTAGCAATAGACACCCCCTGTTGAAAATAACTGTATACTGCGGATGCCATAGTATAACGGATCTTTAACGTGAGGAAGTGTTTTAATGTGTTAATAGTCAAATTTGGAATCACCTAATATTTTAATACTTGTTGAGATCAGAAAGTGAACACTTATAACAGAGTTATAAATTAATTTTTATTCTAAAGCTTAATGTGCTTTAACAGATATATATGCCAATCTGTAATCTATGATTTTAAATGTCAAACAGCACACTAGCCCCTGGTGAGATCCCTGGTGAGATCCCTGGCGAGACCTTAATGTTTGTTTTGATTTGTTTTAGTTGGGAAGTTTCTTTTTAAGTTTAATTCATTTCATTTACTTTACACAGAAAGAAACAGGTTAACATTGTCATACTTGTAATAAGTGCAAATAAACACATCACAGTTATTGAAGCAAAATATTAAACATTTCATTGAAAGTAGCATCAGACAACTGATCCAGACATGTAAGGACACCTGCAGTAAGTGTTTAGTTAACAAAACAGGTCCCAGTTACTCTCTGTTAGAAAAATTCTTCTAAAGTATGACTTAATGTGTAGTTAAACATAATAATGTTTGTTTGACTATTTAAAAGTGTACATTGTATTCTTTTCTCCTTTTAGCCTAGAAATGTTGCAGGATTTCGGGGAACAGTTCGCTATGCTTCAGTTAATGCACATAAAAATAAAGTAAGTATCTTTTATTTATTTCTTCAATCAGGAGACAACCAAAGACGTTTAATTTGCACTTGTGCCTAGTTAACTATCTGTACAAATTCATAATACAGAACAGCCTGTTCTTCTTTTCTTTAATGCCCTTTTGTTTGTGGTATTGTACTTTAAGGAGAGGAGTACTTAATTTTTTCTGATAGTGAGACAGATACTCGGAACACTAAGAGAGTTTTAAATACAGCCTTTCTCCCACCTCTTCAGGTTTCCTTCAGAGTCACAGTACTCTTCCTCACCTCCTCCTCAAAGCAAGGGCCCTATTTCATACACTTCATCACTTTGCATAAGATATACAAAATGGCCACATTTTAAATCCTTTCCTAAGCAATTTAAGTTGAACAGAAGATTCATTGTACAGCCTTGGCTTATCCCAGTACAACAGCTACAGCAAGTAATGCACACATTTCTTTTTACGGTCACAAATCAACATGTTTTCATTAACTTAATATTTATTGTCCTCTTTGTTAATGTTTAGGAAATGGGTCGTCATGATGACTTGTGGTCCTTATTGTACATGTTGGTTGAATTTGCAGTTGGTCAACTGCCGTGGCGCAAAATTAAGGATAAGGTATGCTTAGCGTGAAGTAGGTACCATTTGCAAAACCTGCCTAATACGATTAATGCATTGCTCATAAATAATAGTGCATGCTCCATTTACGGAGAGAAGTTGGTTAAATATTAATGTCTTTAATAAACACAGTGAACATGAAATAATGTAGTTCTAATTATGTGATGAAAGAAGTTTGTATTAAACATTTGTAAAACCTGTTTTTACAAGACCTGCAATCAAAATGAGTAACGCAAGTGTCGCTGATCGGCTTTTGATACTATGTCTAGAATATTACTTACGCAGAGTTTCTCTGTTAATGATTTTAACAGGAGCAAGTGGGCCAGATCAAAGAGAGATATGACCACAAGATACTTCTCAAACACATGCCTACAGAGTTCTCCATCTTCTTAGACCATGTAGTAGGCCTTGATTATTACACCAAACCAGACTATCAGGTACAGGTCCTTAACCTCAGTCATTTTTTTTATTTATTATGAATGTTTAAACATTTGTTCCAGAGTTCACAGTGTCTGAAGAATCTTGAGTTCTCATGCAGCATGCACAAGTTAATGTTGTGAACGTACACAGAAAGAGCACCATAACATGCTATATGTTTGTTGAAAGACTTCCTGTACAAACAGCTTGCTCTGCTCGGGAGAGATTGGACAGTGAAATGGGTAACTTCACAATGAAATGATACATGATCATGACCATTCAGGATTGTTTTTCTTAGAATTATTTTTTAATTGAAGTGCTACTATTGTTATAGAAGTCTGTGCTAAAGTCTGATGTTTCGTACAATTGAAAAGGTGTAACTTAAAAACATGTCGGGCATAAACGCTTTTTCCCTGACCGATATTGCACCCGGTACCTTTTCTCCTAACCTCCTTTTCTGCACTCCGCAGCTCTTAATGTCGGTGTTTGAGAACTGCATGAAGGAGCGCGTCATAACGGAGAACGAGCCGTTCGACTGGGAGAAAGGAGGCACCGACTCCTTGCTATCAACCAGCACCTCCACCCCACCACAGCACAACACAAGGCAGACTGCAGCCATGGTGGGGTAAGACCAGCACAGCTTTGCTCATCTGGGTCTCCCAGGATGTGCTCTGCGCTTGTCCTTTTGTTCCTTTATCGTCCTCTCCCAGAGACACAGGATTCCTGTGTATTCTCCCTCATTCTGAGGTTTTTGTTCCGGCTAGCCTTCTGATTTCCCTAAATAGGCACAGGACCATTGAAAAATAGCTTTAAGCTTGATGTGAGGAAATGTGGGAGAGACAGAGCTTGCAGATTTTGTGTCACCTGGTATGTGAGTTTAGCAAAGGCTACACTAATTGACATGGCCTTAAAATCCTGGGCTTCAGCGTATCCTTGCCTACTACGCATCCTTAGCTTATCCTTTCCTACTCTTCTGAAATTGTCTCTGAGAAGCACCGTTTCATTAGTATCATGTTGTGCATGTCAGTGCTCAGCAGAGCTGCCAGTATCCGAGTTGTGGGGGCTCATAAGTCTCACAGAAAATAGTGCAGCAGTTGTGTATGTGCATGCACCTACTGTGTACAGTATATGCATATTTCTACATGGACTGTGCCTCAGAAATATTCAGCAGTCTTGTGGTGAGTTGAACAAAATGCCTAAAGTTTATTTTCTTCATACGAATCCCTTAAGTTTAAGGGTGTTGTTCAAGGCAGTTGAAAATGTGATGTCAGTAGCTAAGCTCTGGGGGAAAGTATTCATATATAATGTTTAAGATATTCAATGCTTACATTGTTTGGTCCAACCAGGACATTCTATAGAAATTCAGTATAACTATTTTATTTTTTTATATCACAAATAGATTTACTATTCCACTTTTCAAGCAGATCTTTTATTGTTCAACACACTACCTGAGGTATCAAGAGAATCATTATTACTTTGTATTTCCTCACTCTGGCCTGCTGACGGAACTGTGTAGTTTTATAGAAAGATTTGTGTTCTTTGTCGTTATCATACTGTGATGTTGGCAGAATTGAAAATATCATCATTTCAGATTCCGTTTCTTCCTTCTGCCAGTGTGTCGGGAAGGACTGATTGGGTTATTTTGCTCTGCCATACAGTATATTAAACATTCATTATGAAAGAAAAAAAAACAGCTTTAATAGTACGCAAGGAGAAATGTCCTTTTGGGGTGATTAAAAAACAACAGTACATTCCTAATTTGTTTTCTGAATTATCAGATGAAAGCTTTTATATAATGAACAGAATACAAAATTAAACTTTTCACCAACTAGCTAAATGTCAAGCCTTTTAAAAGTGCAATTTATATGCAAACCACTCCTTATAATAATCTTCCCTGTCTAGACCTTCTTTTATTTCACAAGTAATACTGTAAATAAAATAACATAAAACTGCCAAATGTGCTTTTTTTTGTTGTTCAGGGAGATTTATGCATAAAAATATGTCAGAAAGAGAATAGTTCACATGAACACATGAGCCGTGCTTGTGTCAAACTTCTGAGGATATCTGGGGATGAGTGTCAGAATTGTCCATTTCAAAATACATTAATGTGCTATTAGCCCTTTAGGTAAAGTATAACTCAGTGAGGACGCTGGGAGCATTTAGTATAAAGTCTCAAAGAAGAGTCGTGAGAAAAATCCTCCTGCAGTGATGGTTTAATTTAATTATACAGCCATACTTGGGAATTAACCGACACAAAACATCGTTACTATTCAGAGCACAACCTTTATTTGCGAGAGGAAGTAATTTGGTCGGGGAAGATAGCCCCTGTGGAAGACAAGTAAACTAACAGGAACACCAAATCGCCGATAAAGACTCACAAGAGAGAATAATAAACGAACATGACAGATTAGAAGAGAGAATTGACTTGCTTCGGTTTCAGCGTGTCTTCGGGTTTGTTGCCTTTTATTGCCCTTTTTGGAGAGAGACAAAGCAGGTACACAGAAAGTATAAGAGCAGCGACTCATAAGGCCTTAATCTACCATAGCTGTGTTCACCTCAGGGGGGAACATCCTGGCATCTTGTTACACTAAGTTATAACTAAATGTCAGTATTTGCACTTAAATATGCAATAAACAGAATACAACCTATACAAGACACCACGGGGTGCGGAAGTTCTAAACCACAGAATACTGAAGAGGCTTTTTGACAATGCTAAGTCTCTAACCCAGGTCTTATAGGACTATGCAGTAGGTTAGTCTTATAAATCACCCAATTATTGGTCAATTAAGCATGAAGGATCTCTGGTCTTTTAGGGCTGAAGATTATACTGGTTTCTGCCTAAAATAATCTCTAATTCCTTCAATTAAAGAATCACCTGTTTAATTGATCACAGTCAGATTGTTCTAGGCCCCTTGAAATTGATGATTTTGTGTTTCCCCATGATCACTACTGCACTGGGGATCTCCAGGACCAGAGCTGAATACTATCTGTTCAGCCAGGAGCTTATGTGAATCCCAAACCAATGCACGAGGTCCGTCTACTTTCAGGATCGTCAATGTGACTCCGGTGCCCGGGGACTTGCAGAGGGAGAATACGGATGATGTCCTCCAAGACGAGCACTTCAGTGACCAAGAGAATGCTCCTCCGGTGATCCCCGTGCGACAGGGAGATGTCCAACCGCCGAACGAGGAAGTATGGGAAGACACAGACTTCAACCGCAACAAACTCAGGATCAGCATCAGCAAGGTAACCTGGCCAGGTCCTCCTTTCAAAAGGAGGTTTATCAGCTGTTTCACCAGCGTGCATTTCCTGTTTTTTTTTTACCTTTTAGTTAAAGGAGTTGTCGCATGCTGGATTTTAAACTGTTGTTATTAGGTGACAGTATAGTAATGGAGTAGGGGAAGTCGGTTCTCACAGAATAGGTCGGCATTACTTGATACTCAGGCTTTATTCCTGTGAAAGCCTGGGATGAGGGCTTGCTGTACTGTACGTGCGTATGTGTTAAAAAAGGTAAGGATCGTACCAGAACTGCGGCATCTCATCAGAGTTTCTCAGGAGAGCAGGAATTAAGGGGCAATGCAGTGTTTCTCAATCTTTGGGTACCCCTGTTTTGCCTGGTTTTGCTTCAGCTGTGTTAAAATGTCAGGCTAATTTATTTCAATTTTCTGTTTGAGACATTTTTCACTTTTTCTTTCAGATCTTAAAAATCTGAATGAGGTTTTTAGAAGCTAATTGGTACCCCGTGCTAATTCATGAGTTGCAGGGCTACCCTCATTCAGGTGTGAGAGTTGACATGTAACTAACCCATTGGACTTGAAGAGAAGGAAAAACTGACTCCTTGCTGTGAGAGATGCCTGATTTCATATCCACTTGCGTCTGTTCATAATCATCCGGTCACCCATTAAGAATTCTTTAGTCAGACATAAGAGAACAAATGCAATCTAACCAGAAAAAATAAATGAGTACATTTAATTTTAATTAGTCGAGTGGAGACTGTATAAAGTTCTGTGTTCTGAAGTTGTCAGATATAACTTGTTGTATGTTGTTGCTTTTGAAACCAACGAGTCGGCAGAAAAAAGTCTAAACCAGCAAGCTCAACAATTGTAGGCACCAGTTAGCACTGGTAATTAAGGGCCCGATTGGAACAAAAACCAGCAGACACAGAAGATCCCCCCCACTGCGATAATGGTTAGACAGTGTTTAAGGTCTTGTTTTTTAATGATGTCCTTGGTTGATAGAAAGAAAACCGCAGGTCACACTAGTTGTGTGTTTTAACCCCAGGCGCAGTGTCCCCTGGAGGAGGATGCCAGCCGAGGGGCCTGTCCTGTCTCCCCGGTCAGAGGCCCCCCAGAATCTCCTAGTGTCCAGGTGCGCTCTCTGCGAAACCGGCGGGTCACCAGCCCCGAGTCTGACCGGCTCTCAGCCGCTGAAGGAAGGGCGGACGTCTGCGACAGAAGGTAATCTTTCTCACAGATTTCTCACATGCTTTTTCAGTGCACTTTATGTCCTTTTCTACAATGAAGAAGAATGAGGTCAACATTCAAACATCTCAGAAAAACATGTTTTTTGAAAAATTAAAACGTTGCCGGTTCTGTATAATCAATGCTTAGCTTTAAGTTGCCGATGAGCTGCTTGTTCAGATTTTGATGGCAAAAGATCCTTCCTTTTCCAGGTTCTTTTGTCGGTTCTTCATGAAAGTGCTGATGGAAAATTCTCCCATTTCTTTCATTCCTCCCTTCGCCTTCCTGATTTCTCCTCGTTTCTCCTCCAGGTCTCGAATGGATATCCTCGGCTCCCCATCCAGGCAGGTGTACTCCTCCCAGCCAGCTCAGATGCTGTCTGTGGACACGGGGCAGGGGGACAGGCAGGTCAGCGGCCGGATCGAGGTGTCGGCCTCCGTGGAGCACGAGGCCCTCAGCAACGCCTTCAAATCGGTCCCCCTGGCGGAGGAGGAGGACTTCGACAGCAAGGAGTGGGTCATCATCGACAAGGAGACGGAGCTGAAGGACTTCCACCTGGGGGCCGAGCCCAGCACCTCGGGCACGACGGACGAGGAGGCGGAGGAGCTCCGGCCCATCGAGGACAGCGAGGAGCGCAGGAGGGGCCACGGGGGCACCGAGGCCGTGGTGAGACCAAAGACGCAGGAAGGGAGGTCCCGGGGCATGCTCACCGTGGCCGAGGAGGACGTGTCGCGGAGGAGCGGAGGCCGGGGCCATTCGGCGTCGGAAAGCCGGCAGGAGATGCCCAGCGCCAGCCCCGCCCAGTCGCCGTGCCACTCGATGCCTTCGGCTCGGCCCAAGCGGAGGGAGTCGGAGCCGTCTGGACCGCACAGACCGGTAAGAGCCTTATTAAGAGCCGGGGGGCTCTCAGACTTAAATGGTGCATATCACATCCCCAGGCCTTTTTCTTTTCCTTGTCTTTGCCATTTTTGCTGGAAAACAGGAAAAGAAAACTACAGAGCAAAAATCCCTGGACACAGCGTGCATCCGCGTCCAGCTATTTTTCTTCTGCCCGCAGGCTTTCTGTAAGGCGCTAGACACAGCTTAAGCCGCAGTATCATCAGTTTGTGTTTTTCCCGTTTTATTACACTTTCACTCTCATTCCGCGAGGTAGCTGTTGTGCCACCGTGTGGCATGGTGAGCTCTGCTGCCTCACAGCTCTTGGGTTTGGCGTGGGGATTCGGGACTGGAGCACGGATGTGTCTTCCTGGCTTTTTTCCAGACGTACACGGTTTCCTCCCACCTTCCACAGATGTGCTGGTTAACTGGTGTCTCTAAATTGTCCCTGTGTGCCTGCGTGTGTTTCCCTGCAGTAGGCTGGAGTCCAGGCCAGGGTGCAATCCCACCATGTGCCCTCTGCTTCCAGGATAGGCTCCAGGTGGCCACACTCCTTAGCAGGAGCAGGCAGCTTTCTGATAATGGAGGGACAGATGCATGGATGTAGTTTGTTGTGTATGTTTCCCCACTTGAGACCTTTCTGTTTTGTTGGTCACGTAAATTTTTGTGTTATTGTTAACATTGCAGAAGCTGCTTCAAATATTTTGCTGTTTCTCCTGATATGCATAAAAGTCCTTGTTATGCAGAGTTCAGGAAAATGTTGCGTGCGTGGCTTAGGATGTGGTATGCTGCTGTTTTTAGTCCAGTAGGAGCTGGAAATGCTAAAAATAGAAAATCAATGCTGCTGTCTTTTTAGATACTTTGCAACATGCTTGATTTGGCACCTCTGGTGGTAACAAGATGATAAACAGCCTTTTCATAAAACATCTCACTATAAAGCTTTAAACGAAGTGTCAGCAGTCTGTTTCAGCACGCCTTTTCACAAAAATTGGGATGAGCTACCGTCTAGCTATGACCAAGCTTATTTGTAAAACACTGATATTCACTCCTGATTCTTTCTGGTTTTCATTAAAACCTGGACTCTATTTGACTTTATTACTGTTCCCTTAATTGGTCTGTATTACCACTTTTTTCAGGTCTTATTGAGGATTATATGTTACCTAGAAAACTTGTTAGTCTGAGACCCTCCAGGGCCAGGAGCGAATATCACTGGCACAAACAATTTTAGGTTTGTGCTGTATGTGCAGTACTTAAGGACCTGAGGTCATAGAAATGGTTCACTCATACATTTCCCATTTCAGTTACAGTAACATGAGGTAATAGGTAAATATGTGGTGTGTCTGGTAAGTGAAAAGCCTTAAGGTAGGTATTCATCGCTACAATAACAGAATATTGGATTAATTCAAAGCAGTGTCACACATCACAGTACATTTAAGGGTTATTTTACAGGGATATTCTTAAAGATAGTACGTTGCATTCCACATCCATTGAATCACATTAAAGACATTTTGTAGTGTTTAAAAGTGACTATGCGTAGGCTAAGGAGTCACTTGAGCTGACCACAGAAGCTGAAGGTTAAAAACTGGCCCTCACAGTCAAGCAGGCCCCAGACAGATCTCCATTTCCAGAATTTTGTAGAGTAGCGCTGTCTTAATAAGTCATTCAGGGAAATGCACAATAATGAAAGCAGAAATAGAAATATCGAGCACATTTAAGGTAATCGGTATACAGAGCCAATATTGTTTCTGAGACTGGCCTGCTCAAAACTGTGCTGGCTAGAATATTTTGTCAGCAGTGTGCAGAACGACATAAGAAAGGCCGCAAACAAGAGGAGCCCATTCAGCCCATTTGGTAATTAGTAGCTTATTGATCCTCGGATCTCATCCAACTGTTTCTTGAAGGAAGCAGTTGGATAAGATCCTGGGATCCAGGAAGGGCATTGGCATAAACAGCATGGCTGGGTGAGCTAGCTCCAAACTCTAACAATCCTTTGAATAAAAAGTGCCTCCTATTCTCAGATTTTAAAAGCATTTCCATGTAGTTTTCCCTTGTGCCCGCTGGTTCTTGTTTGACCATTCCTTCTGGAAAAATCCACTGGGTTGACTTTGTCAGAGCGTTTGAGGATTTGTCTACTTGTATCGCTTGTACTCTCTGTAGCCACTATTCTGTTCAGGCTACAAAGGCTCAGTTCTTTAAGCAGCGTAGGGAGACATAGAATGAAATCCTGTGAACTGTCCTATGAAAAGCAAAACACTGATGTTTTTTGAGGACATCATGGGGGTTTTCCAACTAAGAAGCAGGACTTTCACCTGCCTGGTGTGGATAGATTGGCAGTAGTTGTGTTTCTTGGGAAATTCATATCCAATCAGGGACAGTCTGTTCTCTTTATCTGCCATCAAGCCATGGTGCAATTTCAGAACAAGTGAAGAAGATTGGGCCCTTTCATGTTTCTCCTGTTTACACTTATTTATTGTTATAGCAAAAATTAGCTATAGAACAATTAGCTATAGAAAAGTTAGCTAAGAACCTTTTGATAAGTCCAGCCTTAATGTGTTTGTAAATAAAACAGGATTTCAAAAATCGGGAAATAAAAGTATTCATGAGCAGGATTCAGTTTTTCAGATATCCCTACCTATCCCTATTATCAAATTATTATAATGTACAGCGAAATGATCACTTTTATCATTTGACACTTGTTTGTGCCAGGCTGATCAAAAAATCTTTAATTGTTCTGTGAGTCCCCGAGGTCATTTTAGGATTTGTTTCATTTAACATCCTGGTAAAGTCAAGGACGCCCAATAAAATCGAGGCGGATGTTAGTCTTGGAAAAAGAGTGGGATTGATAAAGCTGTTTTGAGTGGATTGAATCTGAAGGATTGAATCCTTTTTAAGAGTGCTTGTCATCCTGTTGTAAACACCTACTGTACCATTACTGCTCGAGCCACTACCTGATTTTTGTTATGATGGGTTCTGATGGGACTGACGTAAATAATTAGAAGATGATTGTATTCAGAGATACATTAAATAGAAAAAAAAGAGACACAAGTCAAGTAATGATGGAAAGTAGATCACACAGTATTTCATCAGAAATGTAAAATGGCAAGAACATTCAAAATATTTGACTCTCTGATATTTTACGCTTGGGAAAAATGTTAAATACATAGAATCAAAAGAAAGCACGTCTCTAATGCTTGTCCCACGTCATGCCGGCTTATTCCACAAATGGGGCTCAAGCTTACTTGTCACGTTCTCACCTTGCAAGGAAGCTTTTCCCGCAAGTAGTAATAATAATAATAATAATAATAATAATAATAATTGCTTACACTTACATAGCGCTTTTTCTGGACACTCCACTCAAAGCGCTTTACAGGTAATGGGGACTCCCCTCC